GCTTCTGGGCATTTCATGAAAAAAGAAGAGGTATGTTATGAGTATTTGGGCAATAGATGATTCTGTCCAGCCCGAGAGTGAGGTTTTGTTAAGATTCTCTCCTAATGGCTCTTAATCACTTCCAACAGGTTTATCTCTTGACCAACTATGTAGTCAAAATTTTTGTTGAGGAAGGGCTGGAAACCTCACTTTATGGTTTAGGCACTGAGGTATTATCTTTCTTTTTAATTCTTTTCTTTGCAGAATTTTTGACACGCATCTAATATGTTTGTGCGCATTTACAGCTTGAGTTTCACAATCTCCTATGCAACTTCAACTCCCCTCTGAAAAATCACATACCCGATGTTTTGGCAAGTGGGATCATTTATCTTGAACATGGAATTTATAGAATTGTACCTTGGGATGGCAACAGAGTTCCTGATGTGATTGCTAAGTGCAATCTTATTCCTGAGAAGTTCAAATCAGATGTTTTTCCCTTTGGTGTATGGAGTAAGAAACAATTTGAATACAGAAAAGCATTATATGAACCCATCAGTGCGACTGAAGGCACACGTATATGGCCATATCTTATAACAAAACGGTGCAAAGGGAAAATATATGCAGAGTTGTAAGTGTAGTGTATATGTTCCTTCTTTTAGTTCAAGTGCTGCTCAAGTTTTTTCCTTTTAGACTTGTTAGAGGTAATATTGGCATAGCTCCTATTGGCCTTGTTTTGTTTCAAACTTTGCAGAAGAGATACCATGCCATTTGAAGACACGCTGAACTTAGCATCCTTTCTGGGAGAGCAGCTCTGTAACCTCCATCTCCTGCCCCTTCCACCTCTTAGTATCTCAAATTTCTCAGATATTGAACAGGAAATAGATCTGTCCTTGACTAACGGTTGTATGGAGGCTGTTCCTGATAAACCAGAAATTCCAGCTGAATGGAATATTTTCATCAGGACTCTAATCAGGAAGAAGAAGGATCTATCAGGTCGCTTGAGTAAATGGTATTTCCTTACCTATCACAAGAAGAACTTTCCTTTGTTAGATTTCATAACTTGTTTAATTTATAGTCCTGTTGACAATATTTTATTATATTCCTAAATTTAGAGTTATAAGCTGACCTTCTTGGAAAGTTATGATGAGGTCATGCTGTGTTTATGATGGACACAGATTGTTACACAGCAAACCCCTCAGTAGCATCTATACTTGAGTAAGCGCATGGGGTTTTCAACCAAATTTATTTCACTTTCGGGTGAAAATACTGTGCGAAACACATATCTGTCATATTTCTTATGTAGTTTACCAATGTTTATATGTTACAACGAAATTTATATTTCTTATACATATGCCACATGTTATTTTTTCACGTTTGTGCTGGTATTGGTATCAATGCTTGTATTTTTATCTTTTTGTGCTCATGTTTGTATGTTTAATGTCCTGTGGTGTTGCAGAACTGGGTTTTCTTAAAACTGATATATATTCTATTGAATCTTCTATTCTTTGGTACATGTGCTGGTGGTCAAATATATTATGAGTGCAATCTGAGCTCCGACTATGGATATCCTTAATGTTTAAAACTCGGTATCAGAGTATTAAACGGACAGCTCTTAAGTATCTCAATCTCACTGTGCAGGGGAGATCCAATTCCTAGCACACTAATAGAGAAAGTCAATGAATACATCCCAGATGATTTTTACAAGTTGCTTTACATATTTGAGGTTTCTACCACATCCCGCCCTTTTAGCAAACATGTCAAGATCAATTTCTCTTAGATTTTTAATGTGATTTTTAACATGTTGACCATATATGGTTTCAGGATGAAAATGGCTTAAACAAAGTTGGTAAACTTTGTTCCTGGATACATTCGGATATCATGGATGACAATGTTCACATGGAACCATGTGGTGTTCATTCTTGCTTGATTGGGAACACCAACGGCACTGACACGGTAAATAATGGTTTGGTGAGTGGCAATGGCGACAGTGTAGGGAGAAAATCATGGCGTCCTAACCACATTCTTGATTTCAGCGATCTTTCTGTAGGTTGGTATTTATTATTGAATAGTGTTCCATGTGTTGCTATTACTTACATAATCGTATTGGTATTTGGATCATTTGTCTTTTTCTATTTGGGAATGCAGGCTATTTTCATCATGTGTGTTTGTTTATAGTCAATATGTCTATTCAATTGGAACAAAGTAGGGCTGTAAATCAGCTCGATACATTTCAAGTTCGAGTGGTTTCATATTGGCTTTCTAATATCATGTTCGCTCATATGTACTGTTGTCAGGTTGATTCTTTTATTTCTTTTGCAGGTGACCCCATTTATGATTTGATACCCATATACTTGGATATATTTAGAGGTGATCGCTCTCTCCTTGAGCAATTTTTAAAAAGCTATAAACTTCCTCTAGTGAGAGGAGTGTCACAGAATGAGTCTGTTAAGGGTGGCGATAAGTTTGGACGGCTTTCCTACCATGCCATGTAAGTAATAATTCCCATAGATGCTTGCTTATGACGTTTTCTCAATTTAGTTGGCAGTTGGTCAGTTAATGTTCTTCATTTACATCGAGATAATTTAGACATTTTCTGTGGTAAACATTACGTTATCCATGCGCTATCCAAACAACAGAAAAATTCAGCAACAATAGTATGCAGCAGATTTTGGATTAAGGCTAGGTAACAATAACACTAGTCTTGGAATTCTGACACAGCCAACCGATTATTTACTGTGTCGCTCTGGTCTTGGTGCCTGAGATGGGTCCTGACTCTTGACATGGGAAAAATTATAGATTAACTCTATCATTCGTTTCAAATGGAAGCTAATGGTTACTTTGCTGTTTATGTTTTAAAAACTTTGGTATGAACCGTTGCCCGAACCATGAGTGTGGGTGTTTGATTAGTTTTGGATGATTCATTTCTGCAGGTCCTACTGTATTTTGCATGACGACAACGTCTTGGGAGCTATTTTTAGTCTCTGGGACGAACTCAAGACGGTGAAGACATGGGAAGAAGTTGAGCAGGTAGTATGGGGAGAGTTGAATAATTACAAAGGTTTCCCTGGATCATCATCATATTCTGCATTTCTCTCATCGTTGGAGCCAACAACTCCCACAACATTGTAGCACTTTTGGGAGCAGACATTCTTCATTGTGACTGTGTACCATGATTATTTTTGGCAGCATTGACTTGCTAACTTATTGTCTTATTACTTCTTAAGGTCAAAAGTTTCAGGAAACTTTACTTATTTAAATAGATTTTAATAATTTTATATTTTGGAAAATGATCATACCAATATTAAAATTGGGATACTACTTCCTCCTTATCTGTAATTTATCTGTAATGAGATATTTCTCAATGTGAATCATAGTTTAACACATGCAAAAATAATTCATTAAAAACACAAGGAAAAAGTTATGCACACATGTCACACTGTTATTGGTAAGAATATAGGAGTTTTTACTTACCTGATAACTATTAAGAATATAGGAGCTCCTACTTACCTGATAAGGAGGGAAGTATTTTCCTTAAAATTGTTAATACTGATAGGCCTTCTAACCTGCCCAATCCGACATTGCAATCAGTTCAACATCTATTGTTTGTGTAAATTTAATATGTACAGGATCAAGTGAATACACGTTAAACCTAGTCTGTCGGTTTATTTAAGCCAATTTATTAACCATATCTTTATAGAGCAAGATTCATTCAGAAAATAATTTGAAGTTCATCAGGTATGCAAGCCACCGAAGCGCGTTGGTTTTTACATTTACTTCAAGCCATACCTAGTCCGAACTCCTGCATAGTAGGCTTGGAGGAACTAACTGTTGCTATGGAATCAATCGAGCTTGTAGATGTAGATTAGGCTAGTTAAGTAGGACAGTGAGTCCGTACTCTTCGCATCCGAGTTTGAACCTTCATTCTGTAACTTAGACTATCCTAAACTTAGACTAATTAGGATAGTTTAGACTATCATTTATATATAAAAAAGAAAAAAAAATTAATCGAGCTTTGACTTGAGTTGGATTTGCTTTTTAGTAAATTTAGGTTTTAGCCAAAAAAAAAATTCACTTTTGGAGAAAGCCAAAGCTTTTTTAAAAAAAACAAAAATCTCTCAACTTTCAAATAAAAAACATGCAAATGTAAAGGATTTCTTAGGAAATCCAAAAATAAATAAAGGCAATTTTGTCTATTTTGGCTTCTTTTACAAAATTTCTCTCCTTTGTGTTTTTCCAAAGTCTCCCTTGCTTTTTTCTAAGTTGACATTGAACACTCTAAAAAGTCATTTGAAAAATACATTTTTTGACACAAATTTCAGACAAGAAAATACGAACATGATATTTAAGAACGGTGTAGAGTCAATATAAACTTCAAAATTGGATAGAATTGCATTAAATTATTTTAAAAAATATAATTTGTTCAGGGCAAACTTCTTTTAAATAAGCAGCTTACGATATTTACTAGTCTGACATACAATCTCAAGCTAGACAACCTTAACCCAAGAGAGGAGAATTGAACTAAGAACCGAGGATACCCTTGAGCTACAAGCCCCTTGCAGCCAACAATTATCAGTTCTACTGAAACTATGACAAAATGAAGATATTAGAGCATGTCGAGAGTATAAGAACTCTCAATTTGAACTCTCCATGTATATCAGTTCTACAAGCCCCTTGCTGCTCTCACTGCCATTCAGAATTCGAATGAGGATATTAGAGCATGTCGAGAGTATAATAACTCTCAATTTGTGGACTGAATTCAAGTTCAGTTTAAGGTAACAAGCATCTGAGCTTATCTAGCATGAAATCGAAAGGGTAAACATCCAATAATTAAGGCTCTTGAATAGAAAGCTCCAATATATTAATCAAAAGGGAAAAGCTTTCATATGAAAAATCCAATAAACTCAACAGCAATAGAGAAAGCACTTTAAGCAGTCATTAGGTACCACAAAAACTGAAAAAACATACGAAGATAATGCAGTAACATCCATACTTTAACCAAAACTCAATGACTTAGCACACATCTATGCTGCAATAGATGGCTTCGAGGCAGCAGACAGCCTGGACCTCTTCTTGGCTAAACTCTCACTTCGTCGATCCCTTTGTTCCTTCAATCTTGAGGCAAGGAGTTTCTGGTACTCAGCAGCCTCAGACTTGGCCTTTGCAACCCTCTTCTTCTTGTCTGCAATTCTTGCCCGCTTCCTTTGCAGGGTCAGTGGGGTGACAAGTCTCTGAATCTTGGGAGCTTTACTCACCTTCTTGCCTGCCAACAACACAAAACCAACAAGCTTAGTAAACCGGCAAACAGAACCAATCTGATATTACATTACAATACAACGCAAATAGATAACATTTTAAAAGTCCTAACTATATCTGTTTTATTCACTTTGAGGAGATTTTCAATAAAACATCAGTTACTCAAAAAGCATTCCAACAAAGGTTTTCGAACATAAGAAAGTCAAACAATTCATTAAGTTGATACATTAAAAGTGCATCAGCATATTATATCACATAACAAGGATTTGGCCAAGTTCTGTCGCCCCAGCACATGGGCCTTGTTATGTAACCCTGGAGAGGAACCTTGTCTATAAGATAGAACATGTTGAACCATCAAGGTGGCTCTACCATCTAAAAATCCAAAGCAGCAAAATGTGACAATCCCAGTACATGAGAATACCAAATGATACCAATTAAGAAACCTTACCAGTCTTTGATGTAAATGATCTGCGGTATGTGTTGACATACTTCCGAACATCATCGACCTTTGATAGATTGAAGAGTTTACGGATCTTAGAAGCCCTCTTGGGACCTCTCATCCTAGGTTTCTCAGTGTCAGTCAATCCAGGAAGGTCACTTTCACCCTTCTTCACAATCACCAAGTTCAAAACAGAAAGGTCAGGGCTGACAATGCAACCACGAACAGACTTTCTCCTCCTCTCACCATTCCTCCTTCCATAACCACGGAAGCACGGGGTTCCTGGAAAAAATATTTAAAAGGTTTGTTAAGATGCAGGAAAGTAAGCTTCTACAAACTTCGGTCATGAATGCAAAAAATATAGATATAACACGAGGGTCGCTCAGAACCTCTGTGTAGCAAGAGGCGAACACGGCCGGGGGTCAACACTCCCTGCTTCATTGGAAACCCTTGCTTGTCACATCCTCCCATAATCTTAAAGACGTATCCCTTAAATTCCTGTTCACAAGTAAAAGCCATTTACAGAACTTGTAAATCAAAGAAGGGTTAGGCAAATGAAAAAGAAAAGGCAAGTTGTATACCTCTCCAAGAGCATCGCCGCTGACCTCCTGGGAGATTCTCTTGTCAAAAAATGCTCGCCTACAGTCACAACAGGAAGAAAAAATCAACTCTTTGCGCAAGGAAAATGGCTAATAAAGTGAAAGTACCTAGAAAACTGCTAGTTCAAAATATACGAGACTAAATCTACATAGAATATGAATTACAATGCTAATACTCAACTGAATATAAGAGCCTAATGTTCTAAGCGAACTTATTCTTAATAAAATGATAATTTTCGAGAATGCCAGCAAAACACAAAACAAACCTAACAACCAGCTGTTTGGTTTAAAATCTAAGAGCGTAATAATCAAATTAAGCTGAAGGTCGAACATAAGCATCTGAAATGCAAAGCTAGCATTCAAGTAATACCAACTAAACATTCAAAACATTCTTAATCTTGAAACAAGAGCTACAGATAAATAATTTCATGATAACAATTGCAAAAGATGAAAACCAATGACATTTCAAGCAAACCCAAGTCGATAAGAACGTTACAGTTTGTGGTCATCGTCGATTTCGAGCTTCTTCTGGCAACCAGTGGTGGGGTTGGCGATGTTGAACTGCAAAGAAAGATTAAGACAGTGAGACCCAAGAAGACACAAACAGAGAGAAAGCGGAGAAAGGAAGTCATGGAGGCAAAACCTTCATCTTGGCTCTCAGATGCGAGTAGAGGCGCTGCGGCTGCGACTGAGAGAGAATGAAGATGTGAGGAAACTATGCTCTCTGATTAGGGTTTTGAATGGCCTGAAAGGGCTCTTATATTTGGGGTTGGGGGTTTATTGTGGGTAGTTTGGTACGAACTTTTGGATGGAGGCCCAAGCCCAAGCCATGACTGCTCATGGGAGTTGGGTTCACCTCCTTTGAAGGTTCAAAGCCCAGTGAGTGATACTCTAAAACTTTAGGGGGATATTTTTTGTTTGTTTTTATTTAGTGGGGAGGTTTTTGAAGTGACCTTGCGTATGAACCAGGAAATTTAAGATTATTAACAAGGCATTTCAAAATCATAGAAATTAATGTTTTAAAAATTGTGAAATTCCTTGTTTGGCAAACCTAAAATATAGTGGCACGTAAATAATTAACCATTTGTCTATAAATCAAGTAGTGGTATTAGTTGAATTGACTCAAGCTTTTGTGTGTTTCCAAGTGATCATGGGTTCAAGCCTCCATGATATGTGTGTGTGAGTTTCTCTCATTCCCCTTCCTAACTTTGACAACAACAAAAATCAAGTGGTGGTAATGGGTGGTAATATCATGTGTGATGTTAATAATATGAGGTTGCTAATAGTAAGGTGGTGGCGATCATGGTGATTGAGTGGTGTGGGGTGGTGGCGATGACAATGGAAGTGAGGGTGATTATGGTGGTCATGACAAGGTGACGGTAAAAGTGGTGGTGATAACGACGCCAACAGTGGCAGCAGAAATAGTCGTGGTGGTGATGGACACAACAAGGTCTTCCACGTTTGTAGTTGCTATCAAAGACGGTTCCATGTTCATATTTGCAACAATGATTGTCCCAACACCAATAAACATAGTAAAGGTTAAAGTCTTTATTAGCAATAACTGTCCAATTTTAATCTTTTGCATTGATTTGCCTCTAACAAACAAGCATTATTGTAAATGAAAATCACCTTTTGATAAATATATAATAATATCTTTTTTTTTTTTTTTTTTTTTTTTTTTTTTTTTTGTGTGCAACTATTGTAATTTATATGATTTCATGTATACATTTATTTATAGAAAGACTATAAAATTGTAAGTACCCAAAAAAAAAAATATATCATTAGAATTTAAGTTAATAACTTTAGCTAGCTTGCCTATTGAAAAATTCCAACAAAAAAAGGATTTATTGTTCATAAAAACAAGAAAACAAAAATGGTATGTTAGGCCATCTCAAAACCACAGCGTTAAAAGCCAAATTTAAGTTTTTTAGCCCGAAACTCATCTTTAATCCATGTATTGCATAGGGCTAAAAACCTATATGGGCAATAAGTTGGGCTAAGTTTTGCCTGATGTTTGGCCTAGGCTGGAAAGAGTGGAGCCCACGGAGAGAGGAAAAAGTAGCCCACGTGAAGCTATTGTTGGAGCGGGCCCCACTTGACGCAAATGTGGATGTGGAAAGAAGAAGAAGAAGAAGTGTATTTCGCGTGACGAGTGCTAGTTAAAGAGCTATTGAGATTGAACGACTCAAACTTGAAGTGGATGTTCTTTCTTTTTTTCACTTTCAACTAAAGGTAACATCATCCAACGGCGCAAAAAATTCCATATAGATTTCAATTAGAAAAATATATCCTACGGTCAAAATAATATTTTAATTAATCTAAATCTAATTCAACCTCAAAACTCATTCCAAACTCTATAAATAACAATCCATTTGTTAAATAATCCACCAAATTCAATTTCTTAACCTTTTCACTTTCTTTGATGTTGAATATGGCCCCAAAAACCCCTAAGAGGTGTTAATTGGAAACCACGAGAATATGAGGCATCATGCAAAGGGTGTGGGTATGTATCTTTGAAGATGGGATGGTTATCAACCAAATGACACCTTTGGGTATCGTGGGTACTAGAAGTTTTTGGAGAATAATCCGGGTAATGTTTGGATTGGAGCCTCGAACACTAGAAGCCATTGCTTCTCAATTCAAGATCAACAACCAACAATATTCTCTTTGGAAGACATATTTGATTAAGGCTATTGCAAACCTTGCAAGTGGCTCCAATTTAAACGACTTGGTTAGTATTCAACTTTTAAAGTTCATATTATGATTTTATTTTCATGTTGTAACTTATTGCTTCTATTGTACAGCCTTCCCACGTGAACTAATTGTAAGAAGGAGAATGAAATTGAAGGAGATTGTGTGTTTGGTTGGATAATAACTCTACTTAAATAGACAAGGTAATGAGGTTGGAAAAGAAGATGAGAAGAAATCATGATAAGATACAAAGAGATAAGAAGTAGGGTAAACAAAGATTCCCACCCAGTAAAATGGAAAGATGACAAAATGAGATTACCTACATGTCTAATCATAATTGAATGAAGATAGGAAAAAAAATTGGGAAATATGAGGGAATTCAATGAAGAGAGATGGACAAGAGTTCAGAATATTATTGAAAGAAGACAATAGGAGATGGAAATTCATTGCACGCATAGGTTGTTGGAATTTTTGCGAGTATTTCAAGCTACAAAAAGAAATTTCATTACTTAATTATGTTGAATTTAATTCTCCAGATTTTGTGTGTATTTTCTACCCTTTAAAATTGAAATTATTTTGTGTATTTATTGTATAATATGAACTTAACAATTATGAATTTATTATATTATATAAGTGTTAGTATCTTATTTGATTGGGTTTTAATTTTGTGTTATTGGTGTGGTCTTATAATTGCTTTCAATATCATTTTCATGTCGTCGTCTTCATTTAAAGATTTGAATCCAAAAATAATTTATGAGTTTTGTTTCACCAATTCTTGTTTGATCAAATTTTATCAACATAGGTTGGGTTGGCCCATGTGAAAGAGAGATTGATAGAACAAGACAATAAAACATAGATAAAGAAGTTCCACGCGTGTGGAAGGGATTGAATTGGTTTAATTTAAAAATGTTATTATGTGTAACTAAGAAATTGGTAAATTTTGTTTTTTGTTTTTTCAAATCTATTCCTATTCATTAAAATTATTCTACAAATTGTTGTAAATGTGTTACGTTTGTACATCTGTTTTTCTTCTTCCTAATTTTAGTAAATAAAGCATATTGTGATTTTTTTTTCATGTCGTAATTTATCTATATATGTAAAGTAAAAGACAGAGAATAGTGAAACATTCAAAATACTAGAAAATGCCTTTGGTTAATTCAAATATTAAGAATTAAAATTATTAATTAAATGAGAATAATATGGTAAATTCATATTTTTTTCATATTAAAAAAATTAAAATTAAAAACAAAATCAGATAATAGATTATACTTTAATGGAACATAACTACCATGTTATATTTTCTCTAAAAATAAATTAAAAATTAAAAATTAAAAATTAAAATCAATTGACACATGCTGCTCACGCATGTGCCAATGGGCTAGTTGCTATTATTGTATAGCCTACTCACGTGAACTCATTGTAAGAAGGAGATTGTGTGTTTGGTTGGATACATTACCAAACAGCTGGTCTGCTCCTTACAGAAAACTCAGGTGGTAGGTGGTAAGCCTTCAAAGCCTCATACTTGGCTCTGCCACTGTTAACCGCAGTGATACTAGTTGGGTAATAAATAAAATTGACCCCAACTACCATGGGTGGTCGGTGTCAATTTTGGTTCACAATCTTTTTATGCATATCATTGCACAACTTCAAACCTACAAATGCAAAGCAACGTTGGGAAATTTATGGAGCTCTCTACACAATCTTTCAGGCATGAAACAGTAAGCATTTCAAACAAAGGAACAACAACTTGCTGCTCATGCCATAGTTTCTGATCATGCTCCACACATCTACCTTCCCCAATTTCAAGGTTCTGAAAATGACTAAAAAAGAGTTAAAAAAACACAGAATTCAAAACCTACAATCTTACCCAGAAAAGCCCCTTACATGCCCAACAATTATTCATATTTGGCCTAATGATTGGGGCCTAAAAGAGCCAGAAGAAAGGCCCTGTAATTCCCAGATGTCTCTGAATGAACAGCATCACTCAAAGTCTTGCCATACTTCTTCCTGTACTCTGCCTTTATGAACTGCAAATCAATCTCAGCCCTTGAAACAATCACCCTCAAAAGAGTACTGTCATCTGTGCCCAAACCCTTCATAGCCTTGTGCAGAACCTTGGCAAAATACATCCCAGGATGCTCAGCGCAGCGCAAAATGGTCAAAAGGGCATGCTCAAAATACCCAGAAGTCTCCTTCTTCACAGCCTTCTCCAGTGAACTCCCATACATGCTATGGTAAGCAGCACTCACAGCAGCCAAATGGGCGCTGCTCCTCCCACTGAAAATCTGTACGAAGGTCTTCTCATCCGTCCCCAACCTCTTCTCCCCTGCCTTGAACAGAGCCTTGGCGTCGTACTCCACCGTCGCTCTGTCAACTTCTAGACCCTCATACCTCGGCGTCCCAACATAAGCAAGCAGCAAATTTTTGTGATCCCCAGAAGCCTGAAACCCGATATCGTGCTCCAGATAAACCCCAAAAGTTGCAAAGTAGATGTTCTTGAATTGCAGGATCTGAGATGGGGTTCTTGAGCAGATGACTTCGGTGGCTGCTTTGAGATCAACAACAGCTTCTCCGCCCAGAGCCTGCTTGATTATGGTGGCGTCTCTCGTTGCTGGGTCGTGCATCCAGAGCAAGACCGATTTCTTGGTGTTTCCGCTGAGCTCTGAGGAGAGGCGCTTGCTGAGCTCCTCATGGTACATGGTTTTGTACTCTTGCTTGAGGTAGGCTCGCTGCGTTGCGTCTCTGTGGGCGAGGATGTTGATGACGGTGGTCGTATCGCAGCCAAACCCTTTGAAGGCGCGGTGGAGTTGGATTGCATCGTCCCTGGGAGAAGAAAGCACTGGTGGAATGATCACAGAGGCCATTGTTGTTCTGCAACTAAAATTGATGGGGAATCAGATGAAACCAAGAAGAAGAAAGTGCAGAGCTTTGGAAGTTTTTGAATTGAATGGCTAGAGAGGCAATTGTGAAATTCAAGATCGACACGAAAACTGAACACCTACGCCACCAAATAAAGGGGCGTTTTTTATTTGATGAAATAAAGGGGTGTTTTTAAATAATTGGTAAATTGAAGGAGTTTGGAGGATAAGGCTGAAATTAGAAACGAAGGACAAGCAAAGACAATCGACTTTATTATATTTATTGTTACCGGGTCATTGAGGGTCCCCGACATCGTGATGGCTTTTGAATTTTGCATTCAAAGCGATTCATGTTGCATAAGTTTTCCCTCCTCAGATTCACTCACACGTTAGAAGTTTTTCCCTCCTCAGATTCACTCACACGTTAGAAGTTCATTACGTGAAGAGGGCGGCATACACATAAAAATAATAAAATTGAAATAAGAAAGGGCATTTAACGCTGTTCGTGTTGCGGCGTTTAATGCGGTTCGTGTTGCTGAAGTTAAGTTTACCGTGTTGCGGTTGGAAGTTTTTTAGGCATGCCATTGGGGGTCCTATAGCCCACAGGGCAGGGCACATCAACTAATTGGATTAAAAGGTGTTGTTAGCGTCACCCTGTTGATAATGGTATGGTTTGGGCTAATATTAAAACTAAAAACGCGGTGGAATTTTCTTTTGACCAGCCTTTTGGTTTTCAAAAGGAGAAGAAAGCTTCTATTTCATCAATGAATGAAGGTCCCATTGACACCTTTTGATCACCCGACCCGAATATCCCTTCCTAAAAGCTATGGCCATTAGTGGTTGCGAATATATTTATCCCTCAACCGAAGTTCAAAGTTCAAATCCCCTTTTAAGCATATATGTAAATAAAAACCATGCATTAGAGTGTAGAATATACCTAATGAAATGATACTAAAATGGAAGATTACTTGTCCTTGCGAGCTTCGATGGGTGCTAGCACGAATCACAATCTCTTCAGCTACCGAATAGAACTTTCGTGCACCTACCGAAGGCTGAAGGGGATTGTTGTGATTGTTCTTAGAGAGAGTTTTTTTTTTTTTTTTTTTTTTTTTTTTTTTTTTGTTTAGGGATAGGGAGGAGCACAAAATTTGGCTGATGGAAAGCTTTCTCAGGGTGGCCTAATGCTTTCCTTCTCCTCTTTATATTACAGGTTTTTGGGTATAGGGAGGGAGGAGAACCGCGTAGTTTTAAATCCAATCCGTGTTATAATTTGACTGAGTTCATAACCGATAGACAATAATTTTCCATTATTAGGTTTAAAATTGTTGAGTTGGGTTCCACCAACAACAATGTGGAGGGATCAGGGGTTCAGATTTGATCTGACATTGTAGTTATTAACACAACAGAGTAGAAGATACGACCGTTTTAAACAATCCCCACACCATCATTTTCTGATTGTCTTTAAGATTTGAACCGAAAGAAATAATATTATGCTTTATTTGAAGAAAACCTTAGAGTTAAAGAAAATACAAAATGATACATTTATTCAGGGCCACGTATCAGACCAATTCAAAAGAAGGAGCCTCACAAGAATCCAATACTCATGACTTCACAAGTAGAATTTGTATTCACATTTTAATTACACATATTTGGCAATAGAAAATCACCACTTGTTTCATTATCTTCAGCATCCAAATCATCAAGTTCCATGCTGCTGCTTCCGATGAGAGGCTTACGAGCTGCATTTGGTACCCCGACTGGTTTTCTTGCCTCTTGTATTATGGACTGGACTTCTTCAATGCTTTGGGATGGATTATTAACATCATGGGTCTGCCAGCTTCCTCCTTCCATCATTTCCATAGGTAAGTTCTTTACAAACCAAGGGTGGCTTTTAATTTCTGGGATTGTTATTCTCTGCAAACAGATATAAGCAGAGACCACAATGAGAAAGCTAAACTGAACCTATAAATCTAAACACGAAATGTGCATCCAAAAACCAGATATTTGCAATAATGTGGTGGTATTGATTGATTGATTAAGTTAAACCTGTGGTGGTGAAGTCTAGATATCTAGTAGTTTCAGCACCAAAATAAAAACTACATTACCTTTTTGGGGTCTGCTACAAATATATGAGATAAGAGATGTCTACATTCGATGGAAACTCGGACATTATCTGGAATTGAGTACTGTACGCTAAGTATCCGCTGCCATAAGACATATAGCATGTTAACTATAACTCAAAAAGGAATTATAATTTTTTTATATATGCACTGTTTCATTTCTGTTCCATTTTATTGGAGAAAAGTTTGTTATGCCACTAACCCCAATTGTTTTTCTAAAGTTTCTGGGGTCTTGAGGATCTTCAAAGGGATATGCTCCAACTATCATCACATATAAGGTCACTCCACAAGACCAAACATCTGCAATCTATAACCTCTAAGATAAGATACAAAAGATGCTTAGAGCAATAACAAACAACAGTGTCAATGAAAAGTCAAAAGATTTGGACTTACCTGTCCATCATATTTGCTTTTAGATAGGACCTCAGGTGCTATATAAGCTGGTGTTCCTACAGTAGATTTTGGCTGAGAATGCAATACTGACTACAAACAAAGTGAAGGAATTAATTACTCAAAGCCTCGTTAACCCAAATCCTTAATGTGGATCCGTACTCCAGGGTTTGTGGATTACCTTTGAGTATCCGAAATCACATATTTTTACACGGGGTGCTGTGCTGCCATCTAAGAGTGTGTTTTCAAGCTTAAGGTCTCTATGACAGATTTGCTGCCACAAATGAATTATTTCCTCACTACAACCGACGCTACCAAAGATCCCGACAGAAAGATATAGCAGTATACAACACATTAATAGAAGAGTGCCAAATTTCATACCATTGAATGACAATAACTAACTCCTGATATCAACTGCTGGAAGAAAAACCTTGCCTGATGCAAAAGAACAACAAATTTGCAAACAAACAAAAAAAAAAAAAAAAAAAAAAGAAAAAAAGAAATTTTAACAATTGAAAGTAAAAGAAAATCTGGAGCCGCAGGGGAAAGAAAAAGAAAATCTGGATTCCATTTTCAAGCGACATTTCTAAATTACAAATGATACCATAAAATTCTCTACCCCTCCAAAGTTACTTTACCTCATCCTCACTAAATCTGCCAGCATTGCATATTCTCCCAAAGAGTTCTCCCCCTGCCGCATACTCCATTACTATGGCTAGATGAGTTGGTGTCAAAAGGACCTGCAAGAAAGAGACCCCAATACTCTTAAACGAAAACCTGTTTATCGGAAATAGGCCTTTGTAAAGACTATTTTCACTTCACATTAACAAAGACTGACAGCAAGTAGAGTCCATGTTTTTAACAAAGATACTTTAACAACACTTTTAATAAGTCCTACCAATTCAAGCACACTAAAGGCATGATTTTAGCTGTTCTGTCTTCAACCCAACCTCAACAGATACTTAGGCAATGCTTATGCAAAGTTAATTGAGAACATGTTATCAGTATCTCTCAAGGGACCACGACAAAAGATAAGAACAATCAGCTTATGTATAAAGACATGCTATATGTTTATGGAAAATTCATTCTCAAATTGAAAACTGAAAACTGGAAAATTCATTTATGGATATCAAGTCCACATAATTCATAATCACTGACCTCTTTGAATCGAACAATATTGGGATGCTTCAATGATCTGTGGTTCATGATTTCCCTTTGCACATGTTCATCTATCTGTATCACCAAATAAATGGGAAAACAACCCAATACCCAGATAAAATTCAAAGAACCAAAAATAATAATAAATAAAATACAAAGAGAGAATTCACAAAAATAAAAGGAAGATAAAGGAGGTTTAGGAGATGAACCAAACCTTCTGGCCTCTCTCAATGAACTTAACAGCAAAGAGCTCTCTGGTCAACTTATCTCTGACCAGCCTGGCCACCCCAAAATTCCCAAACCCAATATCTTTCATAATCTCATACCTCTCCATACTAGACCAATTAATTTCCAAAGTTCACAACAGCAATGAACACAAATTCAAACAGAGCTGACAACCAGATCATGAAACAGCAGCAGCAACATGCACATCCAAGTTCCCAGTGAAAAGGGTTGCAGAGGGCTTTGCACCAAACAAAGATAGCTCTTTTAGGAGAACAAGTGGAAAAAAGGGTTGGTGTGAAAGATATCATTAAAAAGTCTTCACAAAGGCAGCTGAGGGTGGGAGGCCACAAACTCAAATAGTCTTTGACGGCATGCAGTGAAAGTAAAAAATGGAATTTGGGATTTTTTTTTCGTGAAGATTGGAAGTAAATTATGTCAAGCGGTGTGAAAGTTCAGAAATTTTTCGTATTAATTTGTTTCAGAGATGAAGATTTCATGACCCAAAAGAGGAAAGGACAGAGATTTTACAGCAGATAATGGAAAAAGGCCAAATGACAGCCACAGTGATTCGTATTTTGCAAAAACCATGTTTTATGCGCTTTCTTTTCTTTTGCTCCACAGTCAAGTCAAGCCCACGTTTCTGGGCCACTGCGGTCACGCCCACTGTAAGGCGCCGCGTAAGCATGCAGCTGCTTGCTTTATCCAAAAAGATTTATTAATTTTTGCACAACTTTTATATCTTTCATGCAAAAAGAAACAAGAGAATGTTTTTTCTCTCTCTCTTTGGGTGAAAACAAGATAAAGTATTTTCCAAGTTATGTGACACAAACTACTATTCTGAATTCGCTATGATGGGAATTGTCTAATTTTTTTAAGTGGTTTTTAACAATTGTTTACCTAAGAAATCTGCTCAATTATAGATTGATTACCCATTTGTTTATTAATCTAATTATTTTAATGTTATAAAATAATTGTGTTTGCTTGTTTTATTTAGATGATCCATTGATTTTTCTATTTGATTGATTTTTTATATGTTCTATAAACTCTTTTGATAAGTGATATGGGAGACGGGGGATTCAAACATAAAACCACAGGTGCAAGGTAAATGCTCTTTACCATTTGGATTTGCCACTTTAGGAAATTGCAGCAATATTTACATTAAAACACATGCACCCTTTGTTTGGCAATCCAAATGCTCTGCTTGGCTTAAGCCGAGCCTATCTGTATTTCATTAAGTTTTATGCATTGTATGGCAATCCTATCAATCATGCAGTAAATAAAACTATTCACTGGCAAAGTCAAGAAGGCAGCAACAGCCAATGCCAGCATCATCAATAGGAGGGCCAAGATATGGTGCTCCAGCAACCACCAGATCATCTTGCAGCTCTCCTTCCTCAAGCATTGCATATCCTGCTCCAAAAACTGGACAGATGACCAAATCAGCCATATGCAATTTAGAATTATAATTAAAATTGGATTGATATATAATTTGTTTTAATTACCAGGAAGAGAAGAAATAGGAAATTCCAAGAAATAAGTAGAAGGCCTGCCAAGCTCCTCAGAGTAAGGTGGAGACAATACATCCAAGATAGCACAGGGAGTTACTGCACTAAAAGAATGAATGTTCCCTCCGCTTGTCGGAAATAGTACACTAGTCTCACATGGTGCCCTCATAATGCCATCTAAAACCTTGCCTGCCAATCCAACTGCGCCCACAGACAGAACACAAAATCAAAGGTTGTCTTTGCCAAAATTTATGTAGTAGGTTTAGCAAAATAACTAAATCTTGCAGCTTAAATTTTTCTTTATGAAGTTAATTATGATTGGTTCTTACATGTTCTGAAGCCTGAAGTAGTTCCTCCGTTGATCCAATCGTAAGCTTTAACATAACATGAACCATAAAGGAGTTTGCTAAAGACTGTCATTCCAGGGTGATCATGAAGGGGAAGTGTCGCCCCAGCCGGGAAACAAAACACGCCGATCTGCTCATAACATTTTATCAATATGTTATGTTACCAAACTGTCAAATAAATGCAATTTTGATCGATGATTTGACAACATAATATATCTAACTGTCTGATAAATGCGCGGGCTAGGGCAACTCTACTTACAGAGAAATGGTGACATTCATGAATGTGAATGTAAGTGATTTGGGAGATGCTTTGCCCACAGATCAGTCCCTTATCTCTCCTTGGGCTAGTAGATGGCGATCCACATAAACCAAATTCATCAATTCCAACATCTATTGCTTTAAACGTGCCTGCGTGTGATAAAAATTTGAGCCTATAAATGTTTCAGTCCATTATAAACATAAGTGCAAGCATGAACAAAATGACCAAGTAAATCATACCCATGAAAATTTTCAGCCATTGAACTTGTTGGGAAGTTGGGAGCATTTTCTGGGAAAATAAAAGATTGCAGGCTTCATACAGCGTTTGGATTTTGCTTTTCTGCATTCTACAGTTGGTGTCCATTGCTCTTGATGATAGATTTTTTTGCACCTTTGTGATAAATAAAGGGGTGAAGAGAGAGGACTTTTAGCACAAACTTTGGTCAACTAAACCAGGGGCTGGGGGCATATTTTTAGACATTTTCATTTGTTTTCAATGGGCTTGCTGCAATTTTCTATCTTGGGTTATATTTCATATCCTTAAAGTCACTGGAAGTTGTGAATTAAACAATCTGTGCACACAACATTTGCCCTACGTATAGAAAATAAATATGGCTGGATTTAGGGTAATTAATTTCTCCTCTGGTTTTTGGTCAAATAGGATGCGGTGATAAAACCTCCTGATAAAGACTTGTTGAAATGAATATTGTAGATGGGGCTTGTAAGAGCATGTCCAGCGCAGGAGGCCTGCCAGGGCAACAGGCCCCCCACGCCAAGTTTGGACCTCCAGCGCTACCAATCCAGCCCGGGCAAGCCCAAGGGCAGATCCTGCCTAGTAGGGGTGGTTGCAATTCGGTAATTGCAAATTTTTGCTCAAACCGCATACCGACCGACTATTTATGGTATGGTGATTTTTGAAACTGCAAAAAGCGGTCAGTAACCGTGAATTAGCGGTTTAAAACCGCAAGTTCTTTTTGTATCATAAAAATCCAATCTTCTACATTTTAGGCCTAACTTTGATGTTTCTTTTGAAGCCCTTTGATTTCAAGCATACTTTAACTCAAAAATATAAATTCACAACCTAAATAAATAAATTCACAACCTCAACTTCTCAAGCATATATAAATTCTCAACCTCCTCAACTTCTCAAGTATTCCAATTCCAAATCCTTTAAAATTACAAACCAAAAGGAAAATGCAATGCAAAATGAATTAAAATTACAACCCAAAGGAAAAATTCAATTCAAAGTTAATTAAAGTTACAAACTAAAAAGAAAATGCAATGCACCAATATTATAAATTAAAGTTACAACTCAAGTATTGGTAGTGGTGAGTGGATTTGAAGGACCCCGTTGTGTTGTTTGAGTACCAATGCTATATACAAAATGCAAATTTTATTTATTTATAAATATAGTCGCGGTTTGCGATAACCGCAAGTTTTGAAAATCAAATACCGCAATCACAATCGCAAATGCATTTCGGTTCTTCATACCGCAAATGCGGTTCGGTTTCCCACAATTGCGGTTCCATTGCTGTAAATTGTCGGTTGGTTTTTGAGGTTTTTCGGTCTAAAATGCCACCCCTATTGCTTGGGCTCAAGCCTGAAGGCGTTGACGTCAGCAAGCCAAAAAAATCAACAAAAAAAAATCAAAAATTTTTATAAAAAAAAAATTACCAAAAAATTATGTATGTTTTCCCTATAAATACATAACAATTTTATTCACTTTTCACACCAAATCCTCATACAAACTCTTCTCCTTCCAATATTTGTAAATTGTTTATATTTTCTTCCATATTTATTTTTTTCTTGCATAATCATTTTATTTCTTGCATTTCTAAATTGTTTATATTTGGTTGCATATTCTTTTTTTTTCTTGCCCTTACCCTAGCCTTTTGGGGTGGAACCAAAAAAGGCAAGGCTGCCACTATTCATGTGAATAGTGGCATCCCTTGCCTTGCCTTTGCCTTAGCCTTAGCCTTTTGGGGTGCACATGCTCTAATATGCCAGAATGTAAACTGATTTGTATATACAATTTAATTACTCAGATTTGGAAATACAAAATGACCACTTGTTTTCAATATCTTCAGCATTAGCAATATCCAAATCATCAAAGATCCATGCTTTTGCTTCCCATGAGAGGCATACCAGCAGCATTTGGGGCCTCTTCTGAAGGATTTCGTGCCTGTTGTATTATTGATAGAACTTCTTCAACGCTTTGGGATGGATTATTTGCATCTTTGCACTGCCAGCTTCCGACTCTTTCCATAAGTTCGATAGGTAAGTTCTTTACGAACCAAGGGTGGCTTTCAATTTCTGGGACTGTTATTCTCTGCAAGGATATGTAAGTAGAGGCCGCAATGAGAAAGCTAACCTCAGTAGCCAAAACCAGATATTTGTAAGAATGAGAAGGAGAAACTGAACTCAAGGAAACTCCTCGTGTTAGTTAGCAGTATACCAAAGTTCATTGCTTAAGTTAAACCTGTGATTAACTCTAATTACCTTTTCGGGGTTTGCTACGAATATAAGAGACAAGAGATGTCTGCATTCCTGGGAAACTCGGATAAAATCAGGAATTGAGTAGTGTACACTAAGGATCCGCTGCCATAAGACACATATAGCATGTTAGCTACAACTCAAAAAAGAACTAGCAAATCTGATCTAATTTCTGTTCCATTTTATTAGTCAAAAAGGTTGTAATGTCACTGACCTCAATTGTTTTTTTGAAGTTTATAGGTTCTTCAGGATCTTCAAAGGGGTATGATCCAACAATCATCACATATAAGGTGACTCCGCAAGACCAAACATCTGAAATCTGTAATGTTTAAGATTAGATTCGAAAGACGCTTAACGCAATAGCAAGCTACATAGTCAAGGAAAATGCACAAGAATTGGACTTACCTTTCCATCATAATTGCTTTTAGATAGGACCTCAGGTGCAATATAAGCTGGTGTTCCTACAGCAGATTTTGGCTGAGAATGCAGTACTGACTACAAAACATAGTGAAAGAATTAATTACTCGAAGTCCGGTTAACCTGAATCCCTAACGTGGATCTGTACTCTAGGATTTGTGGAGTACCTTTGAGTGTCCGAAATCGCATATTTTCACAAGGGGTGCTGTGCTGCCATCTAAGAGTGTATTTTCAAGCTTAAGGTCCCTATGACAGATGTGCTGCCAGTGCCACAAATGAATTATTTCCCTACTACAATAAACACTACAAAAGATAATGAGAGAAAGAAATAACAGCTTAACACATTAACAGAAGACGGCCGATTTACATACCATTGAATGACAATAACTAACTCCTGATATCAATTGCTGGAAGAAATACCTTGCCTGATGCAAAAGAACAATAAAATTGAGAAAAAAAGAAGAACAAAAATGTATATGTATGCCATTTTCAGGGGACATTCAGAGATGCCATATTCTAAACTACAAATTTTTTCCATATGAAAGTCTCTTCCCCCTCAGAAATTTATTTACCTCATCCTCACTAAATCTACCAGCACTGTGTATTCTCTCAAAGAGTTCTCCCCCCTCCGCATACTCCATTACGATGGCTAGATGAGTTGGTGTCAGCAGGACCTGCAAGAAAATGATACCCCAATACTTATGCAATGCTTATGCAAAATATATAGAGAACATGGCATCAGTATCTGTCAAGGGACCAGGACAAAATATGTGAACATGAGGTAGAGCAGAAGTAGACAAGAAAGGAAGAAGCAGCTAATGCTATATATAGGACTAAAACACATGATTTAACTGACCTCTTTGAATCGAACAATATTGGGATGCTTCAATGATCTGTGGTTCATGATTTCCCTCAGGACATGTTCAGCTATCTGCATCACCAAAGAAATGGATCAAAACCCAAAACCAAGAAAAAAAGAGAGCAGAGAATTCGATTTGACAAAAAATGAAAAACAGAGACCTTCTGGCCTCTTTCAACGAACTTGACAGCAAAGAGTTCTTTTGTGAACTTGTCTCTGACCAGCCTGGCCACCCCAAAATTCCCAGTCCCAATATCCTTCACAATCTCATACCTCTCCATAACACTAAACACAATGAACCCCAAAATGCCACTCTCTTGTTATCTTGTAAATGAATCCTTCTGGAGGGTTTAGGAGGACAAGATAAAAACAGGGTTGGTGAGAAAGAATTATCATAAAAAAGCCTTGGAAAGACAGAGGCCACACACTGAAACAGTGTTTGACGGCATGCAGTTGGGTGAAAGTTAAAAAAAAAGGATTTGGAGTTTTCGGTGAAGATTGGAAGTGAAGTTTTGTTCTGTCATGCAGTGTGAAGAAGGCTTCACTGATTGACTAAATGGAGCTACATGCCAAAACCAACCTTGGCTTGGCTGCTTTAAGTCGGCAACCTATCGTATCAGCAGTTCGTTTTCCCTTTCACATTTCAGGTTCTACTTTGCGGTTCCTTTTTGAGATTTATACACTACAAATTATAGCTACATTTCCCATGGACCCGGCAGTTGGTGCCATTGTCACAATCTTTTAGTTTCCAACGTATAAAAAAAAATTTAAAAAATCTACCTTCATTCTTCTGTCCAAGTGAGTGGATGTCTCGGGTTCATATGTCATTTTTGTCATGTATCGATCAATTATTTATAAAGTTGATTAAGAAAGGTGTTGGATATTTATGTTATTTATAATACATAACACTTTATTTGTTAAGATCCCAAAACTTTATTTATTATACTTAGGTTTTACTAGAAGGTCAAGTAAAAGTCATGTTTATCACTAAAGATGCATATAGAGTTCTATGAAATAGGAACTCCTTACAAAGAACAGTATGTTCTATTCCCTCTTCTCATGTCTTTCAGTACTCTATGTTTCTGTATTGTCCCTTCTTTCTCTCATATGTCTAATGCGCAATTTAATAAACACTTGGTACCCTGTCTGTTGTGATCGTGCTTAACGGATCGGTGAGTTTCAAGGGTTGTATCTTGAAGTTGTAGATGACCGTTATAACCTGCATGTAGGTAGGCGTCTACGGCTTTAGGACAACGACAATGTGCCTCTCTTTATATCACGTGCCAAATATTTTTAACTATTTTCCTATGCTTTTGATGTATTAACTATGGTGTATGATTGTGCTGTTTTGGGGCTCTTGTTTAATTTACTAATTTATATGAGTATTTGTGAATATAACTAATTCAAATTTTCAATAAAGAGTTCGTCACATATCAGTCAATTGTTAATGAAGTTGATTAAGAAAGTCCGAACAAATTGGTCAAAAGTTTAGGACATAAACATTATTTCGGGTTAGGTTTGAGTTTGAGTTTGAATGCAATCGTCTCAAGTCCGCCCACAAAACAAATCATAATGTCTTAAGAAGACTGAAGTTGGCTTCAAAATCAATCAAAATATAAAGTTCTCTCTAAATTAGTTTTTAAGAGTGCTAAGTACTTTCATGGTTGGTGTAAGATCCACTTTCTTCAACTATTTTCAACCTTGTATGATGCCAAGTCATGGATTAAGCCAAATAACGGAACATGTACATGTCCCAGATTGGGAGGAGAATTCTTTGATAACAATGATGTTCTCAAATTAGCCTAATTGATGATGAGTAGTTATGTAATGCTTTTTTTTTCTTTTTTCACTCTAGTCTAGGATGCTTACATCTTGTAGCCATCAAGTGGTCGATTAGTGTCACTAAGCTACATTATTCTTTTGCACCACGTTCGGTGGCTTAACTTGGACTAGACTATTTCAATAAAATTGACCTAATATTCTTGTCTTTATTTAGTAAACTTATATAATATTTAGTAAACTTGATCTAGGTCCAAAACGATTAGTTGTTATTGGGTTTAGTCCTCGTGTTTTTTGGTTTTAGATGTAGGTCGTTTGACATTTATTACTTTTTTTTGTGTGTCGATTTTACCCTTTGAAGTAAATTAGGAAAATACATTGAAAATCTAAATTTAATGCATTATTTTCTTGTAATTGAATTCCTGAATTTAAATTTTGAATTTTTTCCTTGATAATATTCCTAATATATGGATAAAATACAATTTAATCAATAAAAAGTAAAGACCCACATATTATACCAATCAATCAGACAAGCACTCACATTAAATTATATACTTAACATACAGGTAAATAGTATTATTATTAGCAACGAAAAATACTTAGTGATAAATCATGTTACTTTTAAGTTAGGAACATAAATTAGAAGACTACTTATAAGTCATATACAAAAAAGACAAAATAAAATTGTATGTTACCTATAAAAATAAAAAAAATAAAAATAAAAAGTACACAAAATACTATTACACATTGTCGAAAATATGAAAAATCATATATATACCTATGCAATAGGCAATAGGCAATGTGACATAAATGATTATTACCAAATTCAAGTTATAAGGGGGCAACAGTGGAATAAAAAATTATTTTAAAAATAAAATAATAAAAATATTACATCAAAAAATATTTTAAAAGAAATGTAATTCTATGTGGCACAAAATTCAAAGAATTTGAATCAAAGTCACCAAATCCGAGAATTAAACCCAACTCCTCAATAGGAATTTGGATCTATATCAACTTTTCTAACTGACTTCAACTCATAAGAAGTTACTTGAACTCAACTCCAGTTTAGTACAGCCCAACAACCAAAAGAGGCAGGGAGTCCAACTTGTGTGGACAAGCAAAGGGCAAAATGTGGACAGGCCTGTTAAATAGCCCAGACTGCCATTGGACATACTTGGTATCAAAGCCCAATGGCCCTACCAAAATCTCCCCTTATTGGAGAATCCAAGACAACACTGTTTCAGACGTTTGAAATCCAAAAGCCAGCGTCTGCCAACTGCACATTCAAATAAAAAAGCGCACCTTTTTCCAGTTCAAAATCAAAACCCCGTGTTATTATTTGTGAAAATAAAATAAAATAAAATAAAAAGTCCCGTGTTTGCCAGCTGCTTGTTCTTCTGCACCAGCCAATTGCCAAACATGCAGAGTTGATCCGACGGCCCAGATCTCTCCTTCTCACAACGCAATTATCGCTCCACTACCCCCAAAAATAACACCCCATTTCCCCTCAAACCTCTCTTCGCCAGATCTCAAGATCCAATCCCAACTCCTCTTCCCCTCCCTCCCTCTCTCTCTGTCTCTCTCTGTGTGAACCCAATCTCACAAGCTCACCAACAATGGCGGCAACCACACCCTCGCCCCGTGAAGAGAACGTGTACATGGCGAAGCTCGCGGAGCAAGCTGAGCGCTACGAGGAGATGGTGGAGTTCGTCGAGAAGGTCTCGGCCTCCGCCGAGAAGGAGGAGCTCACCGTGGAGGAGCGCAACCTCCTCTCCGTCGCCTACAAGAACGTGATCGGCGCTCGCCGGGCCTCCTGGCGCATCATCTCCTCCATCGAGCAGAAGGAGGAGAGCCGCGGCAACGACGACCACGTCGCCATGATCCGCGACTACCGATCCAAGATCGAGACCGAGCTCTCCAACATCTGCGATGGCATTCTCAAGCTGCTCGACTCGCGGCTCATCCCTTCCGCCTTCGCCGGCGACTCCAAGGTCTTCTACCTCAAGATGAAGGGCGATTACCATCGCTATCTTGCTGAGTTCAAGACCGGCACCGAGCGCAAGGAGGCTGCTGAGAGCACTCTCTCCGCCTACAAAGCTGCTCAGGTATTTCACATTAGCTAGCTTTTCCCTATTTCATTGAGTTAGTGTTTCATTTGCATATAAACTTGCTTGTTTCATTTGCATATAAACTTGCTTGTTTCATCTGGTGTGCTATTTTAGTTGACTGTCTTTTCTGCCATCTTCACTGACTACCATCTCAATCTATTGCTAGACTGATGGTAAGCTCAGATGGAATAAATAGATTGAATTCTTGGAGATTTTCGTCAAATTTTCGGTATAGACCAAATTGTGTGTAACATCCCTAATTTGATCATTTTGTGGGATGCAATGTGTAGGATCCAACTGGTAAACAAAATGGTTAGTTCAGATTGTACAAATAGATCGAACAGTGTAGATCGAATTGTTGGTATAATTATGGATGGGAAGCTTTTGTTTATGGATCAATTTATTCTTTGACTCGAGTGTAAATTGGATGCTTTGTGTTTTGTGTGTTTTCAGGACATTGCCAATGCAGAACTGGCACCAACGCATCCGATCCGTCTGGGATTGGCTCTCAACTTCTCTGTGTTCTACTATGAGATTCTGAACTCCCCTGATCGCGCTTGCAATCTCGCCAAACAGGTGATTGACTCTTAATCATGAAACTGAATCCGAAAGATTTTACATTTGTAGCAGTTTCTAACTTTGGTTTTGATTCTGCAACTTCCACCAGGCTTTTGATGAGGCAATCGCAGAGTTGGACACTCTCGGCGAGGAGTCATACAAGGACAGCACTTTGATAATGCAACTTCTCCGTGACAACCTCACTCTGTGGACCTCTGACATGCAGGTATTATTCATATGAATCATATGGATTTCCCCTTCTCTCTGCTTTTTCTTGTGCAATTTATTGAATACTGATTTTGAATTATGCATTGATTTGTCTTCAGGATGATGGGGCGGATGAGATTAAAGAAGCAGCACCCAAGCCTGAGGAACCAAAGCAGTGAGCACCTTCCATGGCTGCAATTTAGGGTTGAACTTCTCCTCTATATGTTTTTAATAGGAGGAGGTAACCCTGGCTAATTCAAGTTCTATTCCTATTCTAGGCATTCTTGTCTTCCCAATTGAATGGTTGACAAACTGGGTTTTTATTTTTCATTTATCTTTTTTTTTCTCCTTTAATTTTTTGCCTTTTAAGTAGTCTGTTTTCTCAATTATGTGTTTCTGAATTGGATATTGAAGCTTTGTGTCTCTGTGTTGGGAAAAAACATCTTGGCTCAAATATCCCATCTGTTTGATCTCAAATTCTCAGTATGCCTGGTTAATATCACATATAGTTTTATTTTCTCCTCATTTTGGGTTGTGATTTGTTGTTCGTGTAGACAAGTCTTAATCAACTTTTATAAAGTTGCATGTGACTTCATGATTGTGAAGGATCTTCCATTTCCTTTGAAAATGAGCTTGTCTGATTGGATACAATACATGTGATCTCTTTAGTAGCATCGAATTGATTGGTATATTTCAACGCCATCCTTCTTCTGTTTTATTATTTGTGGTGAAATACCATAAAGTCCTTGTTTTGCTTCGCTTTTTGGGTGGGGACAGCAAAGTTCTTTGACCGCCCATTTATCCTCAAGACTGAGTTTTTGTCTGGATGCCCTAGTGGGTACGGAAACCTGGGGCCCAACACTCGGCGTGCTCGTAGTGAAGTGGAAAATGGAAACGGCGACAATATGGTGTTTTGGATCAGTTTGAATTTGTCTTAAATAATATAATCTGTTTGACTTAATCATCCCAGATCTTCGATATATTTTTATTAATCAATCGTATCAAGTTTTGATTGATGCGTACGCATCTCCACCATCTCAAACTAAGACTAGGGCATTTTCATCTTTGCTAATCAAATCGTCACTCTTGTGCTAATAAAAAATTATCAGCGGGGTAACACGTGTCGACCCGATTCGAGTGTCACCGGGCTCATGTCTGTTCGACTAATTTCTAGCTTAAACCAAGTTTTGGAGCTATGCTCTCAAACTCAACTTGTCTCTTTCCCAGTTTTGAGCTATACCTCTAACAGAATATGAGTTGCTCCCGAGCTTTTATAAACCATGCATAAAGCTCAATATTTATTAGCTTAATAATTTCTGTGTGCAGTGCTTGTTATGGCCTGTTTTACATGCATCATGCTATTTTATGTTTACACTCAGTTTCTGTCTCTGGACATCCTTATTTGAATATTTCTTTGGGCACCTGCTTGATAATTTCGACAATTTGTGTGCACCCGAAACAAATTGCTAAAGTCTTCTAAGAATAAATCTCCTTCACTCACTCCAACTATTTTTGTTTGGGCACCCTTCCCCCCTCCCTCTTTTTTTTTCCCCTTCATTTTCTCTACCATCTACAATGAAATCTAGAAAAGTAGTATAAAGGATTAGCTAAATGTCAGCTACGATGATTATGGGGGGAAAATGTGAGAACCTTGTGTTTTTGGATGATCCCATTTCAGTTTTTGACATTGAAAACTTCTAAGTTCGCGACACGTGATTTGACGAGTGTTCAAATAAATCTAGTGTAAACAGAAATCCTAGTTGCATTAAAGAAGAAAAAACATCAGAGAGACCATCTTGGTTGAGTTATCACCAAGAATTTGTTTGCCTACACCTTGTCATAGGCCATGACTGATGCCTAACTTAGTGTCCAATCGTGACCTACTGCCCATCTCAAGTTCATCATGATTTAGACATGGAATGGAGAACTTGCTTGTATAGAAGTGGAGTTTCACCATCAAAAAAGAAAATAATATCCGCTAGATAAATATAAAAATATTGTGGAGCATTCTGCAAAACATATGCACATGCGTCATTAAAAGTGTACGCGTAAAATAAGTGTGATTTTAGTTTCAAAATATAACGTTGGTAGTTCACAATCACACGCAAACCTAAACTCATCGTAGATGTGTGTCTTGTACCCTACAATCAAAATCACTTGTCGCTCATCACAAATTAACGTGTTAACACCTACGGCGTTTTCTTATGTTATGAAGCTACAGATAAATAAACTAGTAGAATCATGGTGTTGCACGAACTTATAACTTAAGTAGTTAAAAATATTTACATATGCATTTGAAGTCCTTTGTTTAAATTTTCCCTCTCCAATATCACTTGTTACCCAAAACAAAAATTGCCGGTGTTCGCATCTCTTGCCATGGGCTCTTTCATGGGCATCCAAAACCCAAATTCAACCCACATCCAAGAAATGTGAATAAGATTCCTAGAATCTCATCATCCTTCTCAAAGAAAAAAGAGAACCCCCATCATCATCTTTCTCAAAAGTGTGATGTTAAATCATGTCATAATTTGATAGCTTCAAACAAAACATGTCACAAACCAAACATAATACATCAGGGACACTTGTTCCCATCGTTAAGTGCAATGAAATAAATTTTGCTGCAAAATCTGTTGCCGTGGACAAATAAAATAAACCATTGGCTTACATTACAGATGTTCCAGGGCAAGTGGACAACAGGGGAGAGAGAAGATTTTTTAAGTCCTGTAATCCATTGAACATTCTAAAGTGAGCATCTGATCTAGGAAAAGTGATGGGTGGAAGGGTTAAGTTCTTCTCTCCCCCTCCCCTCCCCTCCTAAAAAAGGATTGGTTATTTGAATTTTATCCATATCATCACCGTTTTCTTATAATTTTATTTGTCTAATATCAAGATTCAAGTGACACCAGGAAAAATAAGGAGTTTGACCAACTTGGCTGAAAACAAAGGATAACCTTACAACCTAAAAACAAGGAATTTGGGTGCCTTGGATATGGTTAACCTTCTCTATAAACAAAGACCTTACAACAAACTAATAATGAGGGAGCACATAATTATTGCTTGGAAGACTCACCATTTACTAGTAAACTACATATTTGCTTACTTCATGTGGGTTCACAAACTTTTGAATATAAATTATTTGGGTCTACAAACAGACTACATTTTCATTATGGCTTGTTTTACCTAATCAACATGACATGGCACTAGATTTGCACCTAAGACAATCTCCTTCTCCACACCTCTCTGCACTGGAAAGCCCACTAGAATCCAAACACAACTTTTTGCCGCACTAATCTCTCTACCAATCTACCTTTTGCATCCTATTAATTTTTCCATTCATCAACAACTTCATATTGTTAAGTTCTCACTTAAATTATTAGTTTAGCAGTTTCTATGAGCTTAAAATAAAATAACTATATTTTTTTAGTATAAGTGATAGTTTAAACTACATGCAGAAGGAGGGTTTCTCACACACACACACGCTACCACTGTGCGATGGGAGTTTGAACACGAAGACCACTAATATGCAAGACAATGCTCTTTTCCTCTAGGCTAGACACGTCGGCAATAACAATTTCTATTTAAAGGCACTTGGTATATGCAGAAGCCAAAAACTCCATAGCATAGTAAGTATGATGAGAAAAACAAAGCCTAATAAGAAAAACCTGATAACCCAAGGGCACTGGTAAAGAACCACAGCATAGTAAGGCTTCAAAACAACATTTCATGAACCCAGGCTTCCAGCCAAAACATTTTTATCAATATCCACATAACTGGTCAAAGCAAAAGCATTTTTTTCTAAATTAGGCAACAAATTTTGTTTGAACATGGAATACAAAAACATTTTTGGAGTTTGATCAACATCAACTATACTATGTAGTAAGCTTAGCACCAATCTCATTTGTGGCGTCTTGCTACCATTTCGGTTATTGAATAATTAGCAAGCAAACCGACCGACCCACGGATTTTTTTTTTTTTTTTTTTTTTAATTTTAAGTTTATGCGATTGATTGAGAGGGGGGTTTACACACAAATATTCATTGGGGGTGCCTGGGGATTTCGACCTTCTGCCCACATGAGTGGAGGTGGAAGAGCTCAGCTACCCAACTCGCCGGACATGTTATACCATCCATCCAATTAGCAAACACACATATAGACATTTCAGTTCATAGAAAATGTTCACAAACTGAGATAATTCACCCAAAAAAAAACAACAAAAGCATCCTTTAGCAACACAAATTCTGTATATATAACCCTTTGATTAACCCCCAAAATATCCAATACCAGACAAAGAACAAACCTACATGTCTCTCATTCTCATATATCCCATTTACAAAACAAAGAAAACCTAATTTAAACCGGCAGTGAACCATTTTCCGTCCACCCACTGGTGATTGAATAAGCCCCTCAACCCAGAATGTACAAAGTTCTTGTCTTTTTTATAAAATAAATATATAAAAAAAAACCCCTAAACCCTAAAACGACAGCGTTTAGAGCTCGACTTACCTGAAGAAACGTTTAGAAACCTCTCCATCTAGGGCTTGGAACAGGCACTGTCGGCGAGAGCGGAAGCTGAGGAAACCCTAATTGATTTGGGGACATCAAAGGGTACGGTGACCGCGGCGAATTCAAGCACCCAAACGGAAGCGGTGACTGAGGCAGAGTGAACTGCGGCTGTGACGATATCGCCGTCGCCGGCGGTTGTTGCTGACTCGCCGAGGAAAGCATCCCCTGCTGTGGGGGCCCAGCCTGCTGATTCTGCTGCGGCGTCTGATTGGTCCAGCGCGGCGACACGAGTGGGGCCAGCGGCGAGAATCCCGAGAAAGCCTGGTTTTTGTTAGCATCGACGGCTGAGATTGAGTTGTGGAGGTACCGCATGTAGGCGGAGACGGGGGACTCGGCCGCCGCGTGTACGGTTGGGAAAGGAGGGAGAGGCGAGAGCGGGGTTGTGGACCGTCCAATGGAGTTGAAGTGAGCGACGGCGGAACCCATGGGTGGAATGATGGAGTTGTTGATGGCGTTGGGGTTGGTGGGCGGGGCGGCGCATTCTAGCGAGGGAGGGGGGCGGTTGCTAACGTGAGCGAGGGGGGGAGGGCGGATGCGCTGGAGCCGTGAGCTAATTTGGGGCTTGGGCGGGTGGACCGCCGGCGGCTGCGGGTTGGAGAAGCGGTCGTGGTGGGCGGGGGAGCCGGTGAGCTTCTGAACGACGTCGCGGAAGTCGTTTTTGTTGATGTTGTACACCGGAGGCTGATGTTGCTGTTGCTGTTGCTGTTGTTGCTGTTGAGGTTGTGGAGGAAGAGGAACAGGAGGAGGAGCAGGAGGAGGTGTTGGATTTTCAAAGTTGGGTTTTTTAAGGAAGGTGTTGTTGTTTGAGGTTGTGGGTTTTGAGATCTTGTGAGAAAGCTTGTTGAGGTGTTTGAGGTAGCTGTCTCTGGTGGAGCTGCTGCTGCCACCACCGCTGCTGGTAGTAGCAGAAGTGAGAACAGAGTCAGAGGTTGAAGATGGACAGCTTTATCCATAACAAACAACACCACAAAATCACATACAAACAGACAGACAGACAGACAGACAGACTCTCTCTCACTCTCTCTTCTCTGTGAGAGATCTGAAATATCTCCCGGTAGATTGAATGGGTTTGAGTTGTTGTCTGAGTGTTTTTTCTGTGTGTGGTGGGAAATGGGGAAATGGGAGATAATCTTCTTCCTCTGGTAGTCGGCGAGTAGGGACAAGACTGGACCATGTATATTTATATTTTATAAAATTTTAAAATATGGAATTAAATTTATTTTCTTTTTTGGAGGTTAAATTTAGAAACTTAAAAAAATAAAAGACATGATAGGGTCCCAAATCCAGAACACAAAAGAACCGATGTGTCTTTGTCTCTTTGGTCTCTTTTTCTTCACTTAAAAGAAGAGAAGGGACATGACCCGTAATACAAGCCACGCATCTCTCCCTCTCTCTTTCTAATCTCTCACTAATCTTTTACTCAATCTCTGTCGAATCCCACCTTTCCTGTATCTCACTCTCACTGTTCATGCAAACAAATTTTCATTCTAAATAAAATCTTGTTACTGTACCGTGTTATGCATTTAGGCTAAGAATTTTATCTTTACGTACGAGATCGCCGTTAGATTTCTCATTTAGATTTCTCATTTTCTAATGTGTCACTCTTCTTTTTATGGTGTTCATGAATCAAGTTTTAATGGTCAAAAATTAAGAATCTCATTCCCAAAACCAGATTAGGAAGGGTTTAAATGCTATTATTATCATTTCCATGTACAAGATAATCCCTTTTTTGGAAGCAGCGGTTTGATTAGGGGAACCAACAAAACAACACCTGCAGGTTGTTTGGTAAAGATTAACTACATGGCTCTATTTCCATGTTGATATTTATATGAATTTAATGCTGTTGGGTATTTTCCAACTCAAATAATAATGTTGGCTCTGCTGGAATTGGAACTTTCTCATCTGGTCAAAATTGCCGTTACACTTACCTTAATAAGTTTGGTCTCTCATCCTCATCCTTTCTTAACTTCCCTAGAAAAAACAAAGGCTGAAAAAGCAGCACAACCTCTGCTGTATTCTCACTAGCCCATGTCCCAAAATCTTAGCCCACCACCCTATCAATCTGCCTGAAAATTCCCATTTTCTCTTTGTCTGGGGATAAACAGATAGCAAGCCTCCTTAAAATACGTGTAATCAAATACATAAAGACATTGGTTGTTGTTGGTTGCAGAATTTTAAACCTCATTGCCTTCTATAAAGTCGAGGAATTTGATCATTCATATAGGATTTGTATAACTCATGGTCTTTTGCATGCATGGAGGCCTGTTGGGTTTGTTTTATGACTTGAAGTAACTATTTTTAAACATGTTCTTCTTGTGCAAGTAGCTAAGAACTATTGTGGTCAAACAAAATCTAAAGCTCTTTACTTGGTAAGGGTGTTCTTGCCCGTTACCATTTTTTAAATCATGCAATTTGTACGGTAAAGGAGTAAAAGGTTGTACCAATCAATAATGAAATGGGGGGTACTTGATCATTGATCTCTCTCAATCCTTATCTTTTTCCTTCATTTCGTTTTTCCCTTATTTTTTCATTACAATGTGCTTAGGTTTTTATATATACGCTAACCGTCAATAGTTAACAATCACTAACGTATCTAAATACTTTAATAGTCGACAATTGACCATCATTCATACGCATACAGAACTATTCTAATTTCATATAATACTCAAAGTCTCAAGGATCTTTTTATAGCTCCATTGCCCTCTGAGCTTTAACTAAAATCAAGCTTTATCTCCAATTAGAGCTTGAGTCAATAGGGAGGAGGAGAGAACCAACATCTAATCATATGTGTAGACAATATGAATCTCCTTATCAAAAGATGTCACTTTGTCCCAAAAAAAAATTTTAAAGTTGTGTAATTTTTTGCATATTTAATTTCAATTTGTTATACCTTTGTAGCTGTCAAAGTTCTAAGATGGAACCTTAATCAAAAGACTGATTCCTCTTCTCTTATTTATTTATTCAGTTTTATTTTCTTATTTTCTAGTTTTTCTTGTACTGGTCTAAATTTCTTGCATTCTTCTTTTCAATATTGTTAATACTGTAAGTATATTGTACACGCAAATGATTTGTGTTAGTGTGACTACTGGTCTAAGTTTGGTACGGAGGTGACTCCTTTAGTTAGAAAGTCATTTTCTAATTTACAACACATCTCAACATATCTTAGGAAGTTTGTTTGAAATTGTATTCGAATTGTAGGCTGTGTTACTCTCTATACATTACTAGTCAATCATTAGTTACATCACATGTTTAATTCATCGTATTAGATAACTCGACGACAACTTGACTTTTATTAATCATGTTATGTATGAGTTAATGTGCAAATCATACTTATCAATTAACTCTTAATCTAGTAATATCACTTTTTATAATGTTTGAAAAGATTTAACTTCGAATCCCTCTTCCGTTTAGCGTTGGAGCCCCATTTCAACTTGAAGTTGCCGTGACTCTCCCACACTCCAACATTTGATGTAAAATATATATTAAACTTATGAAAATTGGTGGGAAAATATTGGAAAACCTATATTGTTTGTACCCCAAGTAATAAACATGTGTTGTTGGCTCCCCAAATAATGGATTTACATTTTTGGTCCCGAATAAATGGAAGCTAGCTCCTCCACTGCATCCCTTGATTAAAAAACCACACATAGGACGACAAAATAAATTCCGTGACCAACTGGTGTGTATGAGCCCAACCTAATTTCATTTTATTTTTGGGTCAATAGCCCAACCCAAGTTAGTAGCATCAACAATTGAAAGCCCAAAACCGGCCAGCCCCAAGCACCGGTCTAACTAAAAAAGCTGACGGGTAGCTGAACTACAGCCATCAACTTATTATCGTTATCATTTTTTACTTTTACCACCGCAGTAACTCAGTTTAAATTCTCAGCTTCTAGACGGTAGACCTAACCATCCACACAATTCTCTCTCTGTCTATTTCTCTCTCTCTCTCTGTGCGCTTGGCGGCCTAGGATAAAACGCGAGAGCAGCTGAGGTAGATCGCATTCCATCAATGGCGGAGGCGCAAGGCGACAAAACCCAAACCCTAGCTGAGGTAACATTCCGATCATCTTCTTTATGTATCGAAATGTTACAATTTCGTTGATGGCAGTGGTCACCGATTTAGTTCGATCTAGAATCTAGATGCTATCACAAATACTTCATTTAAAGTGAAAAAAGTTTTGAAATTCTGCATCCAATTATGGATCTAGTTTCTGGTTTAATAAGCTGTCAGTGAATTCTATCTATTGAATATAGTATTTATTTGTTTTTAATTTCTGCGTTCTTGTTCGAGTTTGTCATTTTTGTGATGATTATTTTTTTTTTTTTTTTTTTTTTTTTTTTTTTTTTTTTTTTACATACATACATTTAATTTATTTAAATAAAGCATCATTTCTTGTTGATTTAATTTAAAGTTATGCAGAATTACGTGAAAATTTGATCAAAGGTCTCGGGCTGCGTTGTTGGCACATAGTTGCTGTTTTGAACTCGACTGGATGTTCTTTTGGACAAATGTTATGCTTTGATTATCTATCTATGATATGCATTTCAATTTATTTTGAATATGTTACGTTGTAAAACCCTTTTACAAGTCAATTGTTTTAGTAGGATCTTTTTTAGGCCAGTCAATCAATTAGGCAAGACACACTGGGCTATTAAATAAGTAAAGAGTTTATGTGGGTATCCTGGATGGAAAAACATCACCTTGAACGACATGCTCCTAACTGAGTGTGATGTTGCTGAGAGTGCTCACCCCCCTTCCCCTTTCCCAGACATGCCACCTACCGAGTTGTATTAAGCTTAAAAATTAATCCACAACCTAGTTGTTAACGCCAAGAATTATTGCATCCTGCTGTTGCTGTGCCCTGTGGCTGTTTTCTGGAGAATGATAGAACGATTCCACTCACTACATGCTTCATTATATGTGCTCCTTAGTTAGTCCTTTCTTTTAATGACATAAGATAATAACGGTTAAAGTGTTTTCCTGCATACTTTCACATACAGCAATACTCATTGGAGAAACCTGATTTAGCTACCAAACCTGTCGAAGTAAAAGTGGTTGAGAATCCAGCGACTGAAGTTGTTCCTGAGAAAGCTGAGGAAACACCTGCTGCTGCAGAAGAAAGCTCAGAAGTTACACCAGCTGGCGAAGAAAGCAATGAAGCCAGTCCTGCTGCTGCTGGCATAGAAGCTACTGAAACCAATCCTGCCACTGAAGCTGCTGCTGAAGAAAGCAGGGATAGTACTGAAAACTCAGGTGATCAAGAAGCAGCTGAAGAGACACCTGCAATTAAGGTTAATCTGCCTATAAAATTATCAATAATTTCTTTTTATTATCTACCTTAGTGCATACTGTGTTATATCTTTTTATCTTTATTTGTTTAATCTATTCACTAACATTCTATTTTTGTGTCCAGATTGAGACGGCACCAGCAGATTTCCGTTTCCCAACAACAAATCAGACAAGGCATTGCTTTACCCGATATGTAGAGTATCATCGGTAAGTATACAGTGTCCCACCCACCCCCGAACACTCCCATCTGTTCTTTGAGCGCCCTTTACTTTATCACTTACATCCTATCTTGGTGCTGAGGTTTTTGACAGTGTCTTCACTATTCTGTTCCGACTATTTTCAGGTGCGTAGCTGCGAAGGGGGAAGGTGCTCCAGAGTGTGACAAATTTGCAAAGTTTTACCGTTCTCTTTGCCCTGGTGAATGGGTATGTACTTTCATTATTTTTTTAGGTCTATTTAAAGTATGGCCTTCTGCATCAACAACATGTTGAATCATATTGTGTTCTAAGTTTAGTTTTGTCAAGTCCTCTTCTATTGAAGAAGTTTAGATTTTTAATTGAAGTTGTGGCAAATTGGGAAGAGGGGAAAACTGGTATAGCTTATTGCCTTTCTATATGAGGCATGGCTTTTGACAAGTAGTGGGACTTAGGATCTGAACAAAAAATGGTTGACAAGGGCACTATCAATTGATACCTTGTGTAAAAATGAGGAGTTCTGCACAACTTAATAACATTTTACAGGACTAATTTTTTGCTGATCTTATGTTGAATTTAATGTTTTATTCTTGTTGATCTCTGCATTTTTAAATTTCACATCAACCAATATCTTTAGCCATTCTATTGGTACTTCATTAGCATTGGTACTTTTCTAAATGCATTTTATAATAGAAACAGAACCTCATTAATAAATAGTTTTCTAAATTGGATCACTTGCTATTTTCTGAATATTTGAGCATGGTTAGAGCTTTAATCCTATTCTGAGATTAGCAAAATATGAACTCTATGAAAATAAGTGTTCCCATTATTTTGATAGTTTATTTCAACTTTTTCTGCCCTGGTGTACAAAAGATGTCGAGCAAAATCTTAAAAATGTTTCTGTTGAGATGTTTTCTATGCTAGGACCATTGTAGAATTTTTTAGGGCTTTTCATTAATAGGCCCATTTTAGCATGACATATTATACAATTACCCTTATAGAGCCTATTTAGAGAGAAAATCCCAAAACTAGCCACTTGTCATTTTCTAAACTTTTTCCTAAACCCTTAGAAAATTTTAACACACTAAGAACTAATTAAAAAATGACAAGTGGCTAGTTTTGGGTTTTTCTCTTCAAATAGGCTCTATATGGGTATTTGTATAATATGTCATGCAAAAATGAGTTTTTTACTAAAAACCTAAATTTTTTACTACTCTTTTCTTTCTTATTTAAGTTTTTGCTACTGGGAGAGAATATCACTGTATATGTCGTGATTGTTTGTGAATGTTGTTAGAAAAACATATGAGGGGTTCTTATATTTTAAAAAAAACATTTGAAGGCAAGAGTGATTTGTAAGTTGTTTGTCTTCCCGCACTTTCATTTGCGTGTGGGGGGATTTGAACATAATCCTTTATGCATATCTGCTTAGTAGCTATAAATGTAATGTTGCATTTCGTTCAATACTGGTTTTCTAGTTGGCTGCTTAGCTGTCTGTCCTGTATCCTTTAGAAGTTAACGGTGTTCCTGTTGTACTATTTGTGCGTTCCAGATTGAGAGATGGAATGAGCAGAGGGAGAACGGAACCTTTCCAGGTCCTCTGTAGACGGTGTCTGCATAAAAACCAAGATTTGGTTTGCTTTCAATTATTATATCCAAGTTTTTCTCCTATAGATGAGTTTCTACATTGAGAGTTGAACTCTCAGGGAATGCCCTATTTAAAACCATGAATTAATAAGAAATTTTGGCACGTCTCAGAATACAGCAAAACTGTAGCTCATGAAATGAAATTATTGCTGTTCAGTGTTCATCAATGAAAAATGTTTTTTTTTTCTTTCTTTTCTCATGGTAAATTTTTGCACTAGATGTTGTACAACAGTGAGTTTCTGATAATAAAGAAGCATTGCCTTGGTGGATGATTTCTTTCTTTTTAACTGTCTGAATAATTCCAAGTTAGATTAACGTGTGACATGAGGATGTTGGTAAGGTTGGTTTTATGTATACGTTTTGAACAGCATAAACAGTAATTAATGATGGTGATATGGCCATTGCATTGCCCAAGAATGCTGTGGCGTGGTTGTGCAGGTTAAGGGTGTCAGTCGGGCACCCACGACCTTGGCATCATGGTATCTACAACCACACCACCACTACCCGCGACAGCATGGTGCTACTCCTTAGGGCGGGACGGTTCTACCATCAGGTGGATTGAAAAGACGTGGTTGGTGTTAAGCAGATGAACAAACTAAATTTAGGTCTGGCCAACCATAATTTCCCAGAAAAATGGCAGGACCCCAACCATATAATTCACAATCTATAGACTGCTTATGCTAAGAAAATAATTTTAAACAGCCAAGGCGAACCTAGATGTCATTGCAAGTGCAACAACATAGAGATTGCAACTTCGCCTCCAAAGAGAATTCAAGAAATGAACCAAACCATCACATGCCAAGTAATATGAAAAATAAACTGCATTCATCAGGTAAATAGAACTTAGAAGAGGTTCAACACAATTACAATTGTGACCAATGTAGACAAGTCTTGTACTCGTTAAAGATTACAAATTAACCAAACAAACTTTAAAAACCCTAAAATCAAAACCCATTCCAGCCCTATAATCATGAACTCATGACAAATTCAATCAAATCAAAGCTTTGCCCACCAAGCCCCCTTTACATATTGTAGCTTCTAATTCTTCCTTAAGCCCTCTCGCCTCGAATTCTCCTGGCAAGTTGGATGTCCTTGGGCATGATTGTAACGCGCTTGGCATGAATGGCACAGAGGTTTGTGTCCTCAAACAACCCAACAAGGTATGCCTCGGCAGCCTCCTGCAGGGCCAAAACAGCATGGCTCTGGAAACGCAAATCGGTTTTGAAGTCCTGGGCAATTTCACGAACCAGCCTCTGGAATGGGAGCTTCCTGATCAGCAGCTCTGTGCTCTTCTGGTACTTGCGGATTTCACTGCGTCATATTCACAAACACATCACGATCAAAATTCAGCAACAAAACATTATGCTTTTACGAAATACCCAGAATCAGAATTACAGCACAAGGACAACTTAGGAACAAAATTCTTATTTCCAAAGAAACCCAGAATCAAAATTTAACAACTTTGTAGGCAGAGCCAAAGGGTAGGTTTTTGAATACGTACCGGAGGGCAACAGTTCCAGGGCGGTATCTGTGAGGCTTCTTCACGCCTCCGGTGGTTGGGGCTGATTTACGAGCAGCCTGGAAAAAAAACCCGAATCAGAATTAACAAATTTTTAAGATACAAAACTGATAAGGGGAAAAAACTAGGGTTTGAAGGGGTTATTTACGGACCTTGGTGGCAAGTTGCTTCCTTGGAGCCTTGCCTCCGGTGGACTTGCGAGCAGTCTGCTTTGTACGGGCCATCTGTAACCACAATTGAATCCCAAAAATCACAACCCAATTCGATTCTATAAAACCCCAATTTGAAACAAAATCTAGGAACCCTAATTTCCTAATTATAGAAGCAACCAAAAATGAATTGTATCAAAGAAGAAAAGAACATAAAAAAATTACAAAAAAGGAAAAGCAAGATTACCTTTTGGATTTCTTAGATTCGAAGAGTCGAAGACGAATTTTTGGGTTTTGGGAAAGAGAGGAAATTGGGTTTTCAGAAAACAAAAAGATCAGAACTTTGGGTACGAATTGGAGGTTGTCTGTTTGTGCGTTATATATAGTGCTGGTTCAACAACTCAACGTGACGGCGGAGTCGCGGGCGGCCACGTTTCACATTTACTGTGCTTGTCCCGCTGCCTAATCGGACGGTTATTATGTTCGCCTCTTGTGTTTTTTCCCGACCCTTAATCGACGGTTCAGATGTTGCCTTTTGTCTGTGCCACGGATTGTAAAACTATAATAGTCGCTTCCTATTGGTCCAAACCAGTACACTCTCTCACCCGAGATTAACAAATTATTCCTACCAAATAAAATTTAGTGAATGTGTTTAATTTCATTAGCCAATTTAATCTGTCACATTAAAGTAAAAAAAAAACTCACATTATGAGCAATAGTTCTTGAATTTGTATCGTATTTTGGTCATTGAATTAACAAAATGGTGGTTGTAGCTACCCCTCTATACATAAGTCAGCCTATCACTCTATATAAAAAGAAGGCTACCCACTTAGCCATCTTTAACCCCACACACAAGGAGTGGAATAAGGAATCCCAACAAAAAAAAAAAAAAAAAAAAAAAAAAAAAACCAAACGAAAATAATATAACGAAAGCCTCCAACCATTTGACCTAAAAAAAAACTAAAAAACAAATGACAGGACCCTACCCAAATTCCACTTTGGAATTTGAGCCGAACCCTGTGCATGTCTGACACCTGGTAGGTGCCGGGCACACTTAACCAAATTGTCATTCTAACTAAAAACTAAAGTTTTTTAGGGTTTGGCTTCTACCGAAAAATCAGCAAAGTCTCCCTTTTAAATTGCTCATTTCTCAAATTTTTTCACCTATATAACAAGCAATTTAAAACCACAACCATTCAGCATGCAAAAAGTTTGAATTCAAGCAATCCCAACAACAGAACTTCGTGGCCTCAGGTCTTACCATCACTCATCATTCCTCATCTTTCTCTATGTAGGATGTTCTCACATTTCCATGCTTCGTTTGTAAATTATTATATTAATATTGCTCTGAAATTGCCTTAGGATTTTTGTAAGGCCTGAGGCCATGAAGTTTTGTTGTTGGATTGCTTGAATTCAAACTTGTTGCATGTTGAACGGTTGTGGTTTTAAATTGCTTGTTGTACAAGTGAAAAAAATTTGGGAAATTAGCAATTTACAGGGGAGACTCTGCCGATTTTTCAGCAAAAGTCAAACCCTAAAGAAACTTTGGTTTTTAGTTAGAAGAACAATTTGGTTAAGTGTGTCCGGCACCTGCCAGGTGTCGGACATGCACAAGGTTCGGCTCAGATTCCAAAGTATAATTTGGGTCGGGTCATGTAAACAAGCCTCCAACCATGAAGCAAGCCAAGCCAAACAAAAAAAATGCCTAAAAGCCTAAAAGCACGAGAGAACCAAAGAAGAAGTGACTCTCTTCCTCTCCAAAATTGTATCAATATATCTTTAGTAGGTTCTTCAATCTTAGAGCATCTCCAACTGATATGTCAAACGTGCCACATAGACATTTAACATCTATAAATAACATCACATATCACTCCAACCGATGTGTCAAAGCTGATGTGGAATGAAGGCTGGAGGTTGAGATGTTATTTTTTACATCCCAAAACTAAGATGTCAAATGAATATTTTATTATTTTTTATTTTCTTTTATTTTTAACTAAAAATAAATCAACACTAAAATGTAATAAAATAATAATTTAATTTGACATATCGAGTGGAGTGTAAAGTTGTATAAGATGTCAAATTGCCACAACAGCCATCAAATTTAAATTTGATGTTTGGTATTTGACATCTCCCTTGGAGATGCTCTTAGTAAGTTTCTCTCTTTATTTTTGTTTAATTTTCAATTTTAATTGTTATTGTTAAGTTTTTATGATTTAGGGTTTGTTTGTTAAATTTTGAGTCACGCTAAGCGCATGATAGGAAATTATTTTTGAAAAATTGTAAGTTGTGCTATGATAGATGGGAAAAAAGTCTCCTACACGCGCGCGATGGGAAAAAAAGTCTCCCGCACTAGCAGCATGGATGCTAGTTGCTTTAAGAAAAATAAAAATAATAAAAAAATAGTCTACCCCTAGTAAAATTCATGGATCCATTTTTGTCCTCAACCCCACTTATGTTAACATCATTGATCCTTACGTTACATTTTATCTCAAAATTATGGGCAAAATCATGGCCGGTCCATTAATTTTGAAGGATGAGGGCAGGAAAAAGATTAAGGCCTTTTATATTCAACACTTACCTAATTTTGAACAAAAATTAAAATAAAAAGTTTAAAGATAGGTCTTATGTTTGTTAGTTTATGTAAAAGAGGCCCACTATAGAATTCCTCCTATATGAAAAGTAAAGAAATTGGCCCAATTTTTTTCAGAATAAAGCCCAAAAAACATTAGTCACACATTAAATTTTTTTTATTTTTTTTTTGTTACTATAACTCTTAGGTTAAAATGTTTTATAGGAGGCCCCAATTTTTGCGGGCCCTGTGTCGTCGCCCAACTTGCACACCCTATGGGCCGGGCAAAATAATATTTGCACATTCCTTCTGCTAGGAAAAACACTAGCAGTCCTAATCTCCACCCTTCCCCACCCCAACCACAACCATCGACCACCCCTTCTCCGACATATGTTCAATCACCCACCTCCTCCACCAATTTGATCCACCCATTCTCAAGCAACAAATTTGATCTAAACCTCCACCATGTAAACCACCTCGAAGCCACATCGCAACACCCCAAACCTACCCAAAATTGATCTCCCCACCCAATCACCCCTAATTCAACGCACACACCCAATGCACATACACAACACCCACCCAACCCCAACCCCTCCCCCCAACACACCACCTCCCCTACCCTCCCCTATTTGTTTATCTAATATTGGTTAGGAAATAATTTCTATGTCTCTATCGTGAGATTATTCTTTGCTTGTGGTGATGTGAATGGTGGGTTGAGGTACATGGTGGTAGTGGGAGTGATGAAGCTAGTATTAAGTGATGGGGGTTGTGCTTGAAATGACCATTTTGTCCCTAAATTTAACAGAAAATGTAATTTAACAAGACTAACAATATCATTGTTTTAAATTTACAAGTTAGTATTAGGATATGCACCCCTAGGATTATTTTTGACATTATATATGTGATCCTCTAGTAAATCACATAAAAATATTTTTTTACAAGCTTTCAAATTGAACACTAAAACCCAAAATGTTAGAGATTGGGAGGTCTATAAATAAATATATATGACTCATATTTTCCAAGCATATAAATATATATGTGTGGGAACAAATAATCGCACGCTACTGATAGGGCACCATAGTAAAAGGGACGCGAAAACCAGAAGCACATCTTATCACTCATTAATGAGGAGCTAAGTAACTTAATCGTCTATAGTTAGCAGAGGTTCATTCCTATGCCAGAATTGATAAGAGTGTGGTTCCTAATTACTGTAGCATCATTAATCTAGGAGAATATGCCCACTTATTTTAGGCAAATATTTCACACATCCTAAATCAAACAGGTAATTGACTAGACGTGTAAAATTACGGGTCATAACTCCCCTAATTAGTGCCAATATACATCATGTCACGACAATAAACCAACCACTAACGAGTCTTATAAAAATCCGACTTCCACCACAAGAGGGAGGTAACATTCCATTGACCCAAGAAACCCTACTTCTTCTTGTCTTGGAACTAACTTAGGCTAGAGAAACTCTTCCACCACGAGAGGGAGGTAACGTTCCATTAATCTAGGATTCATGATTTTTTTTTCTCTATTAAATCATTCCCCACAATATGAATATCTTACAAATAATTTTGTGTTTCAGTCAGATTGTGACCTAAACACACGGCAACACATAAATTTTGGGGGATTTAAGAAAGTTGGGTCATATTTTATTTTGCAAAATATTAAGGTTGAAGATAAATTAGTTATTTTGACCAACAAAAAAAAAGAAAGATAAATTAGTTATATATATAAAAAAAAAAACGTTCCCTTTACCTCTCCAAGCACTACTTTTGTGTTACCCACTGAAGCAGGTTCGCAGACTCTGTAGCTAAAACAATGGGTTTGGGCGGGACAACCTTACAAACCCTGAAGCTCGCTACAATTCCTACACCTTCTTCTTCTTCTTTGCGTTCCGTCTTTAAACCATTATCCCAGAGCTTCCTCTACCGCCATAGCCGTAGACGACCTGCACTTCAGCTCTTCTTCGTCAGAGGTCTTTCAGCCCCGGCCGTACAAGCCACTGCCACCGCAACACCAAAAACAACCAGCCCAGATGAAAATGGTTCTTTCATTTCACAACTTAGTTGTATTTTGAATAAATTAGAGTTTTCTTATATTTTAATTTTAGTTGATATTTTGTTTTGGGGCGATGTAGGTATGAAACTGCAATGGAAAGCAGCGATAGACTTCAAGTGGATAAGGGACAACAAGGACGCGGTTGCTGCCAACATAAAGAAGAGGAATTCCAATGCGAATTTGGAACATGTGCTTGAGCTCTACCACAAAATGCTGAATCTCCAAAAGGTCAATTTTTTAACTTTAGTGATTGATTTGTTGAATCTTCATAAGTTTTGCAGACATTTTGAATTTTGATTAAAAATTTATAGCTTTGTTGCTTTAATCCCATGATGGGTTTATTTTATGTTGCGCAATTGGCTCTAGAGTTAGATATGGTATTGGTAGTTTGAACTTGGACTTCTTACGTGTTTTAGAAAAGTGGTGTTCTGTTTCTCAATTTTATATAGCTAATTGTTACTCCCAGAAAGCAGGAAGTTGAACGGCTTCGCGGGGAAAGGAATGTGGTGGCAAACAAAATGAAAGGGAAGTTGGAGTCATCCGAGCGTCAAAGACTCATAGAGGAAGGTATCATTGGAACATTCATTGTGCCTTTCTTTTGTTTATTAATCTGTTGGTCTGCTTCTTGATTGATTTTTAGATTTGAGTTAATCTTTCATCTTTTGCATGCAGGAAAGAATCTCAAGGAAGGGCTACTTTCTTTGGAAGAAGACCTACTTAAACTTACTGATGAGCTTCAGCAAGAAGCACAATGTATACCAAATATGACTCATCCAGATGTCCCGATTGGTGGGGAGGATTTTTCAACCATAAGAAAGATGGTCTGTCTCTGTCTCTCTCTCGCTCTCTCACACACACACACACACACACACACACTCAAGAGGGAGGTTTTGTAGTCCAGGTTCATTTTGCATTCTTCCTCATTTTCTATGCGCTTTTGTAGGTAGGCACCCCACATGAATTTAGCTTTCCTGTTAAGGATCATCTTCAACTTGGAAAGGAACTAGATCTCTTTGATTTTGATGCTGCGTCGGAGGTACTCTTTTTGTCTCATATAATGTATTGAAGTGCCTCGAGCTGTATGGTAAATGAAGCAATGCATGCCAATTTATTTATAATCTTAGCAGTTAAATAGGACTTTGTAAAGAGTTAAAGATATATTCTTGGGAATCTTGCTGGGATAAACTGGAAGTTTCATAAATCCTCTAGGTCCTCCTTATATCAAACTAAGCCTTATTCCAAGGTTTAAATGGATATTGGATCCACTTTACATGGGATTGGGTTCTTTTCTGTGCAACCAAGTTTTTGCTAATTTCTACAGGTCAGTGGCTCAAAGTTTTACTATCTAAAAAATGAAGCAGTGATGCTAGAGATGGGCCTTATTAACTGGACGCTCTTGGAAGTCATGAAGAGGGGCTTCACACCTTTAACAACCCCAGAAATTGTAAGATCCTCCATTGTTGAAAAATGTGGTTTCCAACCCCGAGGAGCAAATACCCAGGTTAGTTCATACATTCCTTTCTCATACTCTGCTTGAAATAAAATGCTGTCTTATCTCTTGCTAAATATAAACAGGTCTATTCTATCGAGGATAGTGATCAATGCCTCATCGGGACTGCAGAGATTCCTGTTGGGGGAATTCATATGGATTCTATTATTGCTGCATCGTTGTTACCTTTGAAATATGTGGCAGTTTCCCATTGCTTCCGTACTGAGGCAGGCGCTGCTGGTACAGCATCAAGGTAAATTATCAGCACACTATATTTCTTTTGTTGTCAGTGACCTCACATTTTCTTTGCAGTTTATATGAACTTCAATAACTTTCTTAATCTATTTTACTATTTTAAATTATTAATAAAATACAACAGCTATATATATATTTTCCCGATAAGAACACACTTTTAAAGTAAACAAAAAAAATTACAAAAAGCATTACAAGTAGTTAAATGCAACAGCTTATGAATACATAAGCCCAAATTGTTCTAAAGGACATCTACCCTTTGGCAATTTATATCCCTGTAACAGTCCAAATAGGCCAACATCAGTAATATGATCATGCTTTAGTTCTCCATTCTACCCCACCCGAAGGTGGTGACCCTTATATTACCCAATGAACATCAAAATCATGTGTGGTGTTATATGCCTTGAACTTTCACAACATTTTATTCGTGCTTGATTGTGATAGGGACCCACTGGTTGGCTTTCTCTTTTAATCAATGTTTATTATCTATTAACAAGAATTTAGGAGAGGAATATATGAATGCTTGGATTGATTTCAATCTAACCGTGGGTAGATTTGGTTTGTAAGTGACAGATTTGAAATCTTAAAAAAAATGTCTTTGGCGTTGCTATCTGAAGTTCAAAATACGTCATGGTCTATTGTCTTTGGCATTTTAGTTGTGCACTGTTTTTGTGGACAAGTGAAAGTATTGTCATCAATTGTATTAATTTTCTAAACAAACAAGTGGTCCAAAATTGATTTTTGTTACAACTTCTGCTTTAGCAGTATCTCCATATCGTGGAAGGTTGTTTACTAGTTCCACTAAACTGATGTGTTTTAACCACCTTTTAAAGATTGATCTACCTACTTTGCATTTGTCTTCAGCACAGGTTATACCCAATTAGGTTTTTGTTTCTCATAGACTTGTGTGCATGCAGAGCATATTCTATGAGACATTTGGACTTTGTCCATCGTACAATAAGTTGGTTGTATTCTGTCCAGGGGTCTGTACCGAGTCCACCAATTCAGCAAGGTGGAGATGTTTATATTATGCCGACCAGAGGAGAGTGATTTCTACCATGAAGAGCTCATAAGAATTGAAGAAGACCTATTCTCATCACTAGGATTACATTATAAGTGAGTACTTCTACACAACCTTCTGATTGTCCATATGATTTGGCTTTTTTACGTTATTGGTAATGTCGAGTTTCTTTACAGAACTTTGGACATGGCATCTGGGGATTTAGGTGCACCTGCTTATCGTAAATTTGATATTGAGGCTTGGATGCCTGGTTTAGCGAGATTTGGTGAGGTATTGCAATGATTTCTCTCTATCACTCTCCCTAAAAGAAAAAAGGAAGAAAACTTGCATCTTGGTTTCATAGGCTATAAAATCTGCTTGTTTTTTGAGATGCAAAAGATATATGGGGTCATTGTTCAGTAAGCTCTTCTGAAATCTTCTGATCCTACATGAATGGTGGACAGATATCAAGCGCATCAAACTGTACAGACTATCAAAGCCGTCGTCTTGGGATCAGGTTTCGTTCTTCAGAACCAGCACTAACAAATCCTAAGAAGGGTAAAAGCAACCTTGCTCCACCACAATTTGTTCACACATTAAATGCAACAGCCTGTGCAGTGCCACGAATGATCGTATGCATACTTGAGAATAACCAGCAAGAAGATGGTTCTGTCGTTATCCCTGAGCCATTGAGGCCCTTTATGGGTGGACTTGAGTTTATACATCCTAAACCTAGATAGGATGGTGTGATTATTGTAATCTTTTTGTTTAAGGAATTGTTGTGGGATCATTCTTTTGGTTACAAGATCTTTCATAAGAGGGAGGGGAGAGCATAAGAAAGACAGCAAATGTGTTGGTCATTCAGTTTCTTTGGAATCTTTTGCACCAAAATGAGGTGCACATTATATAGTGTTTTGAGTTCTCGTCATCGGTTGCAGTGAATCGCACTATCTGTGGAATCCAATTTTTTGTTGTTATTAGGATTCAAACCAGCCCAGCATGGTTGAAGTTTTAAAGCAGTAGAGTCTTGGCTGTTGGGAAGTTCCAATATAACAGCAATCCAACAGAGGGAGTTCCATATTCAGTGCAGTTGCTCATCAATCATATGAGTCTCTCTCTCTTCAACTAAAACCGCATTGGTTGTGAAAATGTGACATTACACAGTTTAAAAGAGAGAAGTAAAAGGAAAACAAAATGGAAAAGAGAGATGGTTTCCTTAACCCAACAACTAAAACACCAATAATAAGCTGAGCGGCTCAAAGATTCGCATTGATAAACTTTGGGGGTGGAAAATGGCCATTGATCTGAAACTGCTGGTACATATGGGACATACAATATTGTACTGAAACTGCCGGCAGTAGGTACCACAATAACCTCTTTAACCTCATTCTTGTTAATTTTTTTCCATTTTCATAACATTTTAGCTATCCGTGGGTCAAACAAACGAGTCTCTATAAGATTGTTGCAAGAATCGAAGGTTGACTAGCTGGAGCTGGAACTGCTCTAGTGAGTATTGTGATCTCTCTACAATTTGAGTTTGCTGAAATCTACTTTTTTGACTGGATAAGTATACGCCTCATAATTGATTTGTTGTCCCAAACTACTCAGTTTTGTGAAAGTAGTGATCAGATCAACCTGAAAGAGAATTTTAAACCAACAGTTAGATCTAAAATGTTAACAAAACCATGCAGACATATTTCCAGATTTGCACTGACCTCATAATCTGTTTCGGATACTGTTTCTCGGCTACGTTGATATTTCTGAACCCATGGAAAAACTTCAGGATCAGCAGCTAATAAGGTTTCTGTGGCTATCTGATCAGGACCCAAGAATGCAGACAGAACAGCTAGCTGGCAAAACAATAATATGCTAGAATCAATAATCATTAAAAATGACCCCAAAAGTAGTGACAGAAGAAGTTCCATTGCTACAAGAACTACCATTCTTCTTCATCTAAAGTTCACAAGTTCAACCATGGAGTGATTTTCTTGCGCTGCAAGTCTGTTTGCTTTTAAGGTTCATGGTTGAACTTGGTAAAGAAGAACTATCCTAACTTGCAATTGCAGCTGTATAAGTAAAGAAATTTAAAAAACACCTGGCGGGGTCCCAAGCCAAGGGCAGAGAACTTGTCCTTCAATTCCTGCACACTTGCTTTGTCCCACTGGGGAACCCTTCCCTCTGGATCTGGCTCCTGGGTATCGCTTCGTCCAAAATTCCTTTCAAACAAGCCCCACTGTTGGCACAAGAATGGTTGTATGCATTACATGCCTTAACCCATAATTTCCTATAGTGAAGAAAATTAATGCAGCTAATTATATGTATGTATGGACCTCTAATAAGCTTTATAAACAAGTATTCCTACATCAAATAAATTCCCCATGCCAGCTGAGCTTTACTCAGGTGGTAAGGTTGCGATGAGGATGGTCCTAGGTTCAAATCTTGCTAAGCAAAAAGTGGGGAGAAAGAAACTTGCACATTTTCAAGTTGATACAACCAATCACTTCAAATATAAACACCAGTTCATTTGAAAATGCATCAATGCAGTAAGAAGAATTAATATGTCGACACAGTTTAAGAATCAACTCTACCAAACCTTTAACCCATGATTTAACTGGCATGAAAAAAGCTAGTTTTATATAGTAGAGCCTAATTTCATTACAAATTCACTGACTGAATCACAGAACTTGGCTAACTCATAAACAAAACTGGAACCCTGTTTTGTTTTAGAATCTGATCCTGGAAAAGGGAAAATAAAATAGAAGACATCCTATGTCTCTGAGGACCATCAGGTTGATCAACTGACAAAGACAACTGTGAGGGTTATTTCTCAACTGAACTTTCATGTGAGAATCATTCTCAAACACCATTTTAATAATCAGCTGTTTCAGGCTGAAATCACACAAAGAGTACCATGTAGTATTGATACTAAAATAATTTCATCTAATAATTAATTCAATATATCAAGAACTTAAACACCGACCATATAAATTATAAATCAATGGTTTCAATAACGACCTAATGGTATTTGGAGTATCTGTAAACAAGACAAATGGAGAACAAACCTGACCATTTGAACCATATGCAGTGTATAATAAATTTCCCTTCTCTTCATTCCCTCCACATTTGCGAATTGCAGCAGCAAGAAAGGTTTGCTTTGTGGCACTTTGTGCTGTATAGAATGAAGGAAACTGAATTATAGACCATGGTACCAGTTTATCAAACAACCCCCATAAGTCATTCAATGCCATGTCAACGATGCGTGTTTCAAATATTGTGATATTGTACAACCTGCTAATTGGATCAGATCAGCATAGGAAATGGGTCCACCCTTGGAATACGAATCAATTTCCTTCTTTGCTTCTTCTATGAAATTCAAAGCAGCAGTGAGCCCCTTGTTTTCAGGTCTGCTTATCTCTGAGCTTTATGCAAGAAAAATTGGAGAAGAAAGTGAAGGTAGCTTCTGTACAAGGTTGAAAACCAAATTGCACAGAGAAAAGAAAGGATAGAGCAAGAAGAAACTGAAACTGCAATGCAACGATTTCATGCAAAGTTCACGTTTTTAGTCCTTTTCCCATTCAGTTGTAACACTTTCACAATATCAGAACTCGTGCCTGGTAGATCCAGAAGCTAGTAAAATGAAAAATCAGAAGAGTAAACATCCTAAAATATCATCCGGTTGCTTTGGAAAAAGCATCCTTTTTATGATCATAAACAGAGAGTTGTCTTCACCTTAAATTGCATAAAGAAAGTTAAAGAGAGTAAAAATGAAGTCCCACTTCAGTTTGAATATAAGATTACCGGAGGAATAAGGTTACACTTCAATGAAAAAATCATATTAAAGAAAATCCTGTGCATAATGTTTACCTGAATCTGATAGATCCATTTGGTCCCCCAGATTTTGAAGCCTAAAACATTGATCAGAAATAGGTAAGTATTTTGTATTCCTCCCTCAGTAATATTTAACCAAACAAAGAAATATTATGGTATTCACAGGGCAAAGTTTTTTGTCTGACCTTATCATAAGTGATAGCATCATTCAGTGCCAGAGTTAGTAAGGATGGGATAATGTCTCGATTTGCCTGAAACGAACAGGAGATCGGAGAAAATATCTCATGAAGTTGAAGAATGATGAATCTAAACTGTGAATGGAGTCTAAATACAGCATGACTCTCACTAATATTTACCTTTATAGCTTGAAAAAGGGTGTCCTTGATACTTGCTGTTTAGAAGGGAATAGGCATCTGGATCAGCATATTGTAGATGATTCAAGTCTAGCATTGGAAACAAGCATTCAAAAAACTTACAAAGAAATTCAGAACGCTGTCTGCGTTGTATCAGATCAGCAGCCTCAGCCACTTCCACAAATGTTCCTGAGCTTCTTATCAATTCCTAAGAAGATATTACAACTGGCAGAAACTCATCATCAATTCACTCTAATTTATGGAATTCTACATTTATTAAGTTGAGCTGCATTTTAATGATAAATATGGATATCGTTGCTCATAATGAAAATTGGGTCTCTGCCAGAGCTTAATGAAGCAGATTAATTATTTTCACAAATAATAAAGAGAAGAAAGCTCTCACCATGCCAATGGTGGCACCAACACATTTGAGAATGTCCCTCCTATGAAACCTATCCTCATTAGCAGTATCAACTTCAATTTTATTACAACGAATTGTAACCTGAAATTCGATATCACAAAACCTACAATCACTACTCATATAAGCAATGTCAAACAACTGGGTTCAAATGAAAACAATACAAACGAAGAGCACTTTTCTGTAATTTAAGAGCAACCCATTTCTCAAAAGACGTGTAGAAACAAGTACGTACCATTGGCAAAAAGAAAACTTACAGAAACAGTTGGGTATCTGGAGCCAGAGGTAGCAGCAATGTTGAGAGGGACTGGAACAAGTGGAGTCAAGGAAGGGACAGTTGATAGGAAGGAGACCGCCATTGCCTTGTTGTCTTTGAGAAAACTTGAGAAGCTGTCTAGTCTATAGTTTCCACTTAAAGAGTCAAGGCTGTTCTTCAAGTGTGGAGACTAGGAAGAGGATATTAATGTGGGCCACTGTCGTGGATATAGTTTACGTGTGGCTTATGATATTGTGTTATCCTATCTTTAATGCCTGACTGGGATCTACATATTCGTACCCGTCAAAACCAACCCAAGTCGACTAACAACGATGTGGAAGATTATGGGTTTGTAATTTGCTTTAGAAATCCTGCCAGACAGACGTTCGCGGTAAGGGGTAAAAATGTCATTTCAATTTTTCATCTATTGTCTCAGCTCATCGGCGAGAAAAACTTACTTATCACTGGTGTATACATCCTTTATCTTTCTCATCATGTGACCTAGAACATAATCAGAGATATAGAGCCCCAATGTGAACGCATGATACCTAAAGTTTGGTCAGTTCCTTTTCAAATTTATCATTTAGAGTTTGAAACAGAAATAACAATCAATGCTTTCACTTTTATTGCATCGAATGTCTATGAATACATGAAGACTGCTTGTTACTTTGTAAACAAACAATAATCCATTTTAGCATCCCCAATGAATCATTCTATCTAATTATAGAAACTTAGCAAAGCACACAATAAGGATGCCTTGGTTATAAAAGGAAGAACCCTCCAGCAATTCATTCCCCGACCTGCATTCTCTTGCATTTTGCTCTTCAACACCGTGATATATACAAAGAATTCGCACCGCTATGCGTACAATGGCAACACCAACTCATAAAGTTACAATAAATTGCAAAGAATGATAGTGTCACCACCCTACCAGCACAGGAATCTTTGTCAAGTGGAATCATTTGCAACATCTGAGAGGATTAAAGAGTTGTTTGCACTGGAAATTCTTTCCTACACAAACAATCTGGTAAAGGGTTCTCATAAAAGGGTTCTTCTGAACGTAACTTTTCCTTGCCCTTAAGTCCTGCAACGGGACCTTTTCTCTTCCGGGGTGAGCCTTGCCTGTGTAACCACCATCACAACAGTTACGACAAATTGGGTTTTACCCATCATGCAATAAATTTGAGAAAAATTAACATTTATGAATGTTTTACAATTCACAAGAACCAGAAATGATATTGGTTGGGCTAAAATGATTCTCATGGAACTTCAAAGCTTTTGGTGAGATAACATACCGTTTCCTATGTATTTCAATAACTCTATCTGATAAGTTTTTGCCTTCCTCCAGAGTTCCCTGCTCAAGTTTGTCAAACAGACCAACAAGAGCTTTTCTGATGAACAGAGAGAAGCATAGAAACAGATTCAGAATGCAGCATTTATAGCCATAGGATGGTCGTGGTAGTTCAAATTTACATATATTCGGAAAAGAAGTTGCCTTGCCTGTCAGGAGATATTGTTTTCTTGTGTCCAAGAAAGCGACGGTGGCCTTCAACTGCCCTCGCCATGTTTCCAGTGTATGAAGGTATAAATACACCACTTTCAACTGAAACAATGTAGTCAAGCGCAGCCATTTGAGATGCATGAGTGGTAAAAGGTTCAAGCTCCTCAACGGATGCCAATGTTTCCTGAAAGTGAAGACCAATATTGGACAAACTAGCATTACAAAATAATCCATATGTTTAGATTTTAAACACCCCCACCCATCTCCAGAAACGATACACATGCAAAATGATTTACAAAATAACAGTGGAATTTTTATTAACCCCCACCCATCCTCATTCAAATGAATTAGAGAGATACATAGATGGTTGATTTGGACTTCCACGAGTTATACCAATCTATGCTGACACTGTACTCATTCTCCCACCCTCCCTCACCACTTGGGCTAGCACAAAGGGCTTCTCCTGATCTTTTTTATTGAATGACATTTCCCTTCCTCCACTAAAATAAATAAAATCCAAATGAATTAAAAATACAGCAGCAGAAGAAAGACACCATTCACTTTCTTCATCTGGAGCCCAATAGCACAGATCCATCAGAGTCAACAAAAGTTAGTTAAGGAGATTAATTGATCCCATCGTTGTACAGTACTCATAATGTAATGTCCGGACATTCCTTGTTACAGCAGTCCTACTTTTCCATCGATAATCTTCGTATATTTGAATGTCATGTTCACTTCAAGTCCAACCACAGGCATTCCAAAAGATTTATTATATTCCATTTGGAGCACAGTTACTTAGAAAAATGTAAATTATCAAGCATAAGCATCAATTATACCTTGCTCTTCAGTATTGGATAACGAGATCGTAGATCAGCCATATGAGAATCACCCCCATATATCTTTCCAGCAGCAATGTATATAGGTGTGCTTGATGGGTACCCAAGAGCACTGAGAAAAATTCCAACCTCCTTTGGAGTTAAGGGGCAAAACCCTCTGGATCTTTGTTCTATGGGATTAATTTCTTTATCTCTCCAGTATCGGGTGTTCTCTCTGCATGTTCCAAATAAAACGTCAGGCATCACAAAAGCCAGAGGACTATCCATAAAATGAAAGAAGTTCTTGCCACATAAGCATTTCATACCGAATGATCCTTAGTTCATCAGCTTCATCTGAAGTTAAATCCTGTGTGCATCCACTAAAGGCAAGCATGTCCTTCTCGAATCGTAAATGCAGAGCAATATAAGAACCAAAGGACCTCATCCGATTGACTAACAACTACAACATTAATCAAACAGATTTTTTTTTTATAAAGGTTATGGAATAAGAAAAAAAGGTTACATAGGCAGTGCAGAAACCAAACGAACATTTAGATCTGAGTTTTACTTTTCCCATTGCTTCAATTTGAGGTGCAAAACGTAGAGCTTCATAACAAGCACGACAGCGAAGCCTCTGTATATCTAGAGGTAGGTTGTTATTTGCCAAGCGAGAATCAGATTTGGAAGCTCGAATAACCTTAAGAAAAGAATAATGTGTTTAACAAGATGATTTACTAATTAAAAAATAATTTAGAAAAGATCAGATAAACCAGAGTCTCCAGAAACCGCACCTCATATTCTTCCCAGAGCCTAGCTATCTCATCTTGATAATAGTTCATACCAGACCAGCTTCTAAAAAGTTTAACCGCTCTGGGGCCAGTAGCCAGTTCCTTAGGAAGCTTTTTTATAATTTTTATATCATTAGCTAGAGCATTGATAAAATGATCTTCATCGAAAACATTTGAGAAGTTGCTGCATAAACAAATGAACCATATCCTTGCAACAATGACGTAACAGCTAAGAAATGAAAGAAAGAATTACTCAAAAAGTAAAACAAAACCACAGTGCTACCTAGAGTCTTTCCAAATGACCGTTGATCAAGTTCTGGGATTACAAGAGTGGCATTTAATAAGCGGGCTACAGCTACCATGTCACATATCTGCAATTCAAGGACAACATATTTTATCTCCATGCAACAGTAAGATGATTATATTCATCAAATAATGGATAATTAATGATAAAATTTTCATATACATAGTCAAACCAAACATTATATTGCTTGTGTATCTACAATTATGAAACACAACAATCAGCTATGCAGATAGATAAATTAGAGTAATGTTGTTGGCACAACCAGCACAGAGAATTAGAGCACCCACGGTGTCAGGGGTTCGAACAGAAAATATACAATGTTGTGATCAATCTACTTATATTTTTATATCAAGAGAGTGTGTTTACAGACCCCAGCACGCATCTGGTTGAGCCCACCATTTGTATGCACCAGAAGGTAACCCCGTGACTCTGTAGGAGCTGAATAAACAACAGTAAAATGTAAATGAAGAACACCAAAGATATGCCATAGCTACACAATAAAACTCTAGCAGTAACTTACATGTATAATTGGGACTTGGTTCTACACATGGCACAAAATTGAGACTTGGTGGAGGCTTCCATAGCTTTTTAGTTTCCAAAATCCCACTTGAATCGTCCAACTGTCAAGTCTAACGGAGTGAAAACATGAAAGATGCATAACTTTTTCACATTAACAAACGTATCTAAATCTATAAGGTTCAGACCTATGTCCTAACTCCTAACTACAAGGATATAGAGCTTCTTTTTTTCTTATTTTTTTTCTTTCCTCCAAATAAAAACAGCTCGACAAAATGTATCTGTATTTCCTTTTAAATAAAAAATAAAAAATTCTGTATTTGATATATTCAAATTTCTTCTTTACCTTTGTTATTTGTCACACTTATCAGCAATCATATAAGTATCAGTCGAATCAATGATATTGATATGCACACCTAATCTCAAAAGCTATTCGCAAGTTGAGTCAAAGATCCAGAAATACATACATATTGAAAAATCTACAGCCTTTATATAACTAACAAACCTAACAGTAATATATAGAAGAACAAAGAATGGTGATGATCAAAATCTAAATCCCGCTGATTGTGGAAAAGGTAAAAACCAACTTTCAAAAATATTAAATTTTCAAGAAGATCGCAAAATTGAATGATTTTGTTTTTGCCTTTTGTGCACATGAGAAAAAGAAAGAGAAAACAGAGAGGTGTTGGGTTGGGGGATCACCGTGGGGAGCTTGACGGGGTCAGAGAAGTTGGGGACCTTCGAGAAAGAGAAAAGAGCCAATAGCGCTATTGAGCATATGGCGCACGTTAGCACCTTCCTCACTGCCGCCAAAGTTCTCCAGCTCTTCTTCTGCATCTGGGGATCTAAAGCTCAGTCATTCATTCAGAGCCATCACCCACAAATCCAAATGAAGAGAATGCGAGTAAAGATTGCGTCTTTCGGTTGTGGGCTTTTGTGGGTTCGTGGGTTTGTCCGCTGAGCTGAAGCGGTTCAGCTGAAGACGCCCGTTTTATGTTTGGGTTTATAATGTTTTGCTCTGTGCTTTCTGGGTTTTTGCCGCGTTGCTTGTTAGTTTGGTCTGTTTATTAGCAATGGCCACCGGCAGAGAGATAGTATTGGCATAAATAAAAAAATTCGATTCAAGAATGCTAGTCTGTCGCTTAATGGTGTTTCAGGCATATCATACCTCACATGTATCAACCATTAAAAATCGACTACACGTGCCTAATCTTGAGATCATATTTAACTACAAATCATACTTCGAATGCACCAACGGTCAAAAATTACTGAATCATGGATCTTAGAAATAAGAAGGAAAAGAAAAGACAGAAAGAAATGTAGACATGTTTTGCGATGGGCAGAAATAAACGAAAAAAAAAGGAATGAAAACGATAACAGAAATAACAAAGGAATTCTTTCACTTTTATTGCATCTAGTGACCATGAATACATGAAGAGAGCATGTTACTTCCGAGACAAACAATAAACTATTTTCGTATCCCCAATGAATCATTTTATCCAATTCTAGAAAGTGGAAACCAGGCCAACTTCGCAAGGCACATGCCTTGGTCATAAATGGAAGGCCCTGTCTCCGGCAATTCATTCCCTGACCTGCATACTCTTGCATTTTGCTCTTCTTCAACACTATGATATACCACCACCAGCAGCTATCTAAACTCAGGATATACATACTCCGCGTCCCTATCCGTACAATGGCAACACCAGCTTGTAAAGTTGGAATAAATTTCAAAGAATGATTAGTGTCACCACACTTCCGGCACAGGAATCTTTTTCAAGAGGAACAATCTTGCAAGTATCTGAGGCGATTAGAGAGTTGTTTGCATTGGCAATTCCTTTTTACACAAACAATCTGGTAAAGGGTTCACATAAAAGGGTTCTTCTGAACGAAACCTTTCTGTGCCCCTAGTTCCTGAAATAGGACCTTTTCTCTTCCGCGGGGAGCCTTGCCTGTGTAACCAGATTGCAGACCGTCAATTATACAATAAATTTGAGAAAACTAGAAGTTGTGGATGTTTTGCAGTTACACAATAGCCAGAAATTATATATGTTGGGCTAAAAGTGATTCTCATGGAACTTCAAAGCTTTTGGTGAGAAATTGAGAAATCACATACCGTTTCCTGTGCATTTCAATAACTCTATTTGATAAATTTTTGCCATCCTTCAGAGTTCCATGCTCAAGTTTGTCAAACAGGCGAACAAGTGCTTTCCTGATGAACACACAAAAGCATAAAAACAGATTCAGTTTGCAGCATTTTATGACCATAGAATGGTATTGGGAGTAGTTCAACTCTACATATATCCAGAAATGAAATCGGCTTGCCTGTCAGGAGATATTGTTTTCCTGTGTCCAAGAAAGCGACGATGGCCTTCAACTGCCCTCGCCATGTTTCCGGAGTACGAAGGTATAAATACATCACTTTCAACTGAAACAATGTAGTCAAGGGCAGCCATTTGAGATGCATGATTGGTAAAAGGTTCAAGCTCCTCAACGGATGCCAACATTTCCTGAAAGTTAAGACCAATAAATGGACAAATCATCACAGCAGTATTGACAAATTAATCCATATGTTTGGATTATAGCAACCCATCCATCCCCCGAAACTATGCATATACAAATGAATTAAAAAATCAAAATGGTATTTTTTTTCCTTTCACAGACTAATAGACAGATGATTTGTACTTCCACAATTTTCCAAATAATTATTTGAATCTATGCTGACTTTGTCCTCATGATACTTTTAAGTACGGATATCTCACCCTCTTCCCCTTGAAAATAAAAAAATCTAAATACAGTAGCAGGAGAAAGACAGCACTCACTTTCTTCATCTGTTAGCCCAGTCATACAGATCCATCACAGTCAACAAAACTAACTTAAATGCCTCATACTTACAAATGACTGACAAGCATAACACAAAGCAAAAGATCACTTAAGATTTTACATACACTCAGCAACACCCAACCCATCACAGTTTCTTTCAGAAATGAGGTTCCTGCGCGTATTGACACCCAAAAGAAAGGCGGTGAATTTTGAAAAGATATCTTTGACACTCATGATTGACTTGCAGGTTAAATTTCCACCTTCATCCAAGAGAATTGCTGCTCTGATGTCATTTTTTACATTTCTGAAAGAAATTGAGGAGTTGTGCATGTTGATCCACATGGCTCTTGATTCATATGTCTTATCTTTGATAACCTTCAGTGCTATATCAGCAGGTTCATACTAACATGCTACCAGTGCTCACCCCAAGAAATCCTAATCTTGAAGCCCTCACAACTTTATAGATAAATTCTACTTTGGTGGTCTTTTTTCTTAATGATGTACAGTCAGAGAAATCCTTTCATTGTACCCAGGTTTTATTAAATAATTAAAAATGTACAGCCAGATGACAGTGAAATGCACATGAATGCTATTATGTCGGATATTATAATTGTAAGTAATTTTGGCTCCAAAGAGATTAATTGGTCCAATCTGGCCTGCCCATTTTATCAGATTAAAATTATAATAATGCATGTGGTCAAAATATTCAATTAAATATTGTGCATCACACTTTTCCATCTATAATCTCTGTAAATTTGAATGTCGTTCAATGTTCACTTCAAGCCCAACCACGGACATTTCAAAATTCTTATAATATTCCATTTGTCGCTCAATTACTCAACAAAATGAAGAAAATCAAGCATAAGCATCAACCATACCTTGCTCATCAGTATTGGATAACGGGATCGCAGAGCAGCCATATGAGAATCGCCCCCATATATCTTTCCAGCAGCAATATATATCGGTGTGTTTGATGGGTACCCAAGAGCGCTAAGAAAAATCCCAACCTCCTTTGGAGTTAAGGGGCAAAACCCTTTGGATCTCCGTTCTATGGGATCAATTTCCTTTTCTTTCCAGTATGAGGTGTTTTCTCTACAAGTTCCAAATGAGAAAGTCAGGCATCAAAAAAGCAAGGACTATCAATAAAATAACAGAACTGCTCGCCATATCAGCATTTCCTACCGAATGATCCTTAGTTCATCAGCTTCGGCTGGAGATAAATCCTGTGTGCATCCACTAAAGGCAAGCATGTCCTCCTCAAATCGTAAATGCAGAGCAATATAAGAACCAAAGGACCTCATCCGATCAACTAACAACTACAACATTAATGAAATAAGAAAAAACTTTAATAATGGTTGTAGAGCATGACAAAAAGTTACATAGACACTACAGAAATCAAATGAGTGTTTAGAATTAAGTATTTACTTTTCCCATTGCTTCAATTTGAGGTGCAAAGCGTAGAGCTTCATAACAAGCACGACAGCGAAGCTTCTGTATATCTAGAGGTAGGTTGTTATTTGCTAAGCGAGAATCAGATTTGGCAGCTCGAATAACCTTAGGAAAAGAATAATGTGTTTAACAAGATGATTTTCCAAAAAGAACTTATAAAATAAATTTCATAAACCAGAGGGTTCCAGAAACCACACCTCATATTCTTCCCAGAGGCTAGCTATCTCCTCTTGGTAATAATCCATACCAGACCAGCTTCTAAAATGCTTAACCGCTCTGGTACCAGTGGCCAGTTCATTAGGTAGCTTTGTTATAATTTTGACATCATCAGCTAGAGCATTGATAAAATGATCTTCATCGAAAACATCTGAGAAGTTGCTGTGTAACAAAGAAATGAAACAAGTTTTTGCATCACTGACATAAAAGCTAAGAAAAAAGAAAGAATGACTCAGTAAGTAAAACAAACCGCAGTGCTACCTAGAGTCTTTCCAAAATGATCGTTTATCAAGTTCCGGAATTACAAGAGTGGCATTTATGATACGGGCTACAGCTACCATGTCACATATCTGCAATTCAAGGACAAACACATTTTAGGTCCATGCAACAGTAAGATGATGATATTCATCAAATAATGGATAATTCATGACAAACTTTTCATATACATATAGTCAAACGAAACATTCTATGGCTTCTTTGTGTAGACTGAAACACACCAATCAGTTAGGCAAATACATTGGTGGCATAAAGTGTTGCTGCTACACCGCAGCGCTAAAAATTGGGCAGTTTCAAGGTTTTCTGTCTGTTATATCATGCACTTTATCTAAATATTACATAGGTACAAACATAACCTCACAAAAGTCCACCTCTGTTCAGCCAAGTCAAAAGTGTGCACCCATGAACTCCATATTTATTTTTACCACATGCACTTACAGAAAGCTATCTTAAGTGCATCAGTCAATCAATTAATGCAACTATTTATTCTGCATAAAAATAATGGGAGAGGAGCTTAAGTGCCTTATTTAGTACGGAGAAAGAGACGAGGAAAAAGGCTTATTTCAACGCTTATGGAATAAATGATAAATTGGGAACTCTATGTGACAGATTAGAGAGGACTGCCGTTGTCCAAGTTCTCTTTCCCCTATGATCTACCAATGAGAAAACCAATAAAAAGAACTTCTGTTTCCAAAACCAAAATTTTGACAGGATCAATATCTAGCAAGAAATATTCAATGAAGTAATCAATCAACATATATTTCACAGAACAAGACATATAAGAAAGGAGTGTTTACAGACCCCAGCACGCATCTGGTTGAGCCCACCATTTGTATGAACTAGCAGGTAACCACGTGACTCTGTAGGAGCTAAAAAAACAACAGCAAAATAGATATTAGCAACACCAAGGATGCCTTGGCTACATAATAGAGCTGAATCAGTAACTTACATGTATAATTGGGACTTGGCTCTACACATGGCACAAAATCTCGATTTGGTGGAGGCTTCCATAGCTTGTCAGTTTCCACAGTCCCACTTGAACCATCCAACTGTCAAGTCTAAAGGAGTGAAAACATGAAAGATGCATAACTTTTTCACATGAACAAATGTATCTAAATCTATAAGAGTCAGAACTAAGTCCTCAGTCCTAACTAATGGGATATAGAGCATTTTCTTCCCTCCAAAAAAAAAATCAGCATACACAAATTATATCCTTGTTTCTTAGTATTTTATTCCCAATTGAAGTTGAGATTTTCAAAACTGTTCTTCTTTATCTTTTCTCATTTTTCACAATTATCAGTCATCAGACGCAACACATAAAGAAACCATCAATTATATAAGTTATGATCAAAAGACAAAACCTTGCGAGAAGGCAGAGGTGCTTTCAACAGATGGGGCGGGGCGAGCTCCAGTGTCCAGCTTTGCTCAGCGCTCAACTTCTGGTATTTAATATCATGTTGCTACAAAATAAGTAAAAACATACAATACAAACAAATTCAGATCAACCCACAAAATATTTTCCAGAAACAAAATGTAAAAGGCAAAAAAAACACTTTATTTTCCTTTTTCTTTTTAAGAAACAAAAACACTTATGAAAGAAACTCCCCATATGGGAAGTCAATCGTAGTCAATGAGTATCCACACCTAATCCCCAATAAACATAACAAAATGAAACTAAAAACAAAAACCACTCGGATATTGAGTCAAAGATCCAGAAACACATACATGATAATAATAAAAAGATGATTGAAATCTACAGCCTTTTTATATATAAAAAATTAGCAAACCCAAAAGCATTTTCAGCAGTACAAACAAATGGTGATGATCAAAATCTAAATCCCACTGATTGTGGAAGAGGGTACAAAGAAATTCTCAACAACAACAAAAGGAAAAAGAATTTAAAAGATCATGAAATTGAATTTTTTGCTTTTGCTTTTTCCGAAAATAAGAGAAGAAAGAAAAAGAAAGAGAAAACAGAGAGGGGTTGGGTTTGGGGATCACCGTGGGGAGCTTGAAGGGGTCAGAGAAGTTAGGGACCTTTGAAGAAGGGAAGACAGGTACGTGGACAGAGAAGAGAGCCACTAGCGCTATTGAGCATATGGCGCACGTTAGCACCTTCCTCAGTGCGGTCAATGCTATCCACCTCTTCTTCTGCATCTGGGTATCTAAAGCTCAGGCATTCAGAGCCATTTTTGCACACAAATCCAAACGAAGAGAAGAATGTGAATAAAAGACCGCGTCTTTGGTTTGTGGGTTTTTGTGGGCTTCTTGGGTTCGTGGGTTTGTGCGCTGAGCTGAAGCCGGTTCGGCTGAACTCGGCCAATTGTGTTTGGGTTTATGCTGTTTTTGCTTTTTTGCTTTTCTGGGTTTTTGCCGCTTTGCTTGCTCTAGGTAGTTTGGTCTGTTTATTAGCAATGGCAAGCGGCAGAGAGAGTGTATCTATTCGGTTACATAAACCAAAACGAATTTAAAGAAGGAGGACAGAAACAGATGGTAATTTCATTTACTTTCAAGAAAAGATTGTTCCCCATCTAAACTTCTTCTTCTACTCTCTCTCTCTCTCTCTCTTTCTCTTTTCTTTTCTATAATTTATGAAAAAGAAAGGCAATAATCTAGTAAAAGAATTTTTTTTTAAATGTTATACCACTTAAATCATAAACCCCACAAAGACTATTTCTATTTCAAATTTGATAACTTTCCCCTCAGAAATTAAATGTTTCTAATTCAAAAATAACAAATTTATTTGAATTTGAGTTAAATTTTTGTTGATAGAAATTTAAATATTCTCTAATACTTTTTTTTTTTGGATAAAAGAAATACATAAAAATACGATGTATTAAAGGAATTATCAATACTGTTTTTTGAGACAATGACGATAGTATATTATTGAAAAAGGATGAATAACATAAGGAGACATTTGATCTGACTAAGAGATCCTATCTTAAATATTGTGTTCAATTTGAACCAACGCATATGATATTAAATTAGCCTAAAAACATTAGCTAAGTTTTAGATGATGAATATGACAATTATGGAAATGCATATATATTTATTTATTAACTACAAAGGATTTGTAGATTAAGTGATTAAGAGAACTACATCGGAGATGTGTGTTGGGTCACTTTATTGCAAATTCATCATACTATAACGTAAAATTGAATGCAAAAAACCCACTAATGTAGTGGTTTAGAGCAATTATTCCCCCTCTAAAAATGGTCATGGGTTTTGGTTATAGTATTTATATAGTGTGTATGAATTTAATATATTATCGCTCATCTTAATAATAATAAAAGGTCCTTAAAAAAAGGGTAAAATCAAATAAAAAATAAATAAAACATAAAGAATATATAATTTAGGTGGATAATGAATTAAAATATAATGTTAATAAATACATGTGTTATAATATAAGTGGACTGTAACACTATATGACGATATGATACTTGCACCCAAGAATTTCTTGGACACTAAAGTTTAAAATTAAATTTTAGACTCCAATTATATTTGGAGTAATTTATGTACGTAGAAAAGTTTTTTCTAACTCATATCAGTGGAAGACGTCCTCAGCTAGGAATGAAATGCATGTGGCATTAAAAGTGATCGCAACCAAAGCCATGTGTACAAGTGCTCATTGTACAAATGTTAACAAGTGATCACAGCACAACCAGCAACTCCGGTAGATGCGAAAATTTGGTTTATCCTTCAACTTGGGCTAAAGCTTCTCTCTTTTTTTCTCTCTCTCTTCCTAAGTAGGATCGTAATTTAATCGAGATAAATATGGAAAATAATTGCGTTAATTAGGTACGTTGTGAGTTTCCCTAGGTTATATGGCAACAAAGTCTTCTACCGACCTGATAAAGCCGCAGGAGTGGTGGGGGGGGAGTGTGGCCCTGTGGATCTCAAGACGATTGAGTCAAGAGATGAGTTGCATTGATGGAGAGGATGGTCTGCATGTGCCCCCCAGACGACACTCATAAATTAACTGGATTATTATACTCTCTCTCTCTCTCTCTCTCTCTCTCTCTCTCTCTCTCTCTCTCTCTCTCCCTCTAGTGCGTGCATTGCACTCGGATCCACAACTCTTAACATGTACGTATGGTCTAATCTTACATGGTTTTCACATCAAAACCTAATGCGCCATATGACTCTTTCAAGCAACGCGTTATTGTTTTGATAGAGATATATAGTTCAAATTCATAGTCTGACTACGGTAGTATGAAAATATGAGAAATGCCTCACATTGGAAAATTGAAAAACCTATATAAAAGGCTTAGAAGAAGTTGGACTTCCATCATTGCCAATTGATTCTAGCGTAAAATCTTAACTTTCTTTATGGTATCATATTAGGTCTTTCCACATATTAGACTTGAAATGTCTTCACATGTGCAAAGTCGTGTAAGAATGTGAAAAAAATATCCTATATTAAAAAGTTGAGAAACCTAATAAAATCTTATAAGGAGGTATAGATAGATATTCTACTTGTGTCACGCATTTGTTTTCTTACTTTTTATTTGCAATATTTTACTAATAGCATTACTACTGGGCTATGTTTCATTGCATATGGGAAGAGAAAAGTTATTTTTAACATGTACTACGATTTGGAATATGGATGAAACTCCATGCCCATATGTCAAAGTAATGCTTGAAATAACTAATATATATATACTCTAGAGAATTCAATCATGGTCAAGGATTAGGTTAAAAATCTAGCACGTGATGATCTTTTACAACTTTTTTAAAATTTGTTTCTTGCTTTTCTTTTCCATTTGAATTAGATTGAAAAAAAGAAAAATTTGTGTGTACGAACATACCCACGAGATGAGAGAAGCCAGAATACAAGGGTTATGGCGTCTATGAAAAGGACTCCATGATTGCAGAAATATTGCAAGTTATATATAGGTCGATCAGAAATGTACAAAGAAATTCATTGTCTGTACTGTACACCAGGACAGGACATATCCAAAATAGCAGCCAGTACCGGATGACGAATAAAACTAGCAAAGAAGACAAAAGTGATATTTGGAAAAGCAATTTTGCATTAATCTTCAAGGCTCTTTCTTTGCCTCAATAAACAAGCCCTTCTTGTTCTCGTGAGTCTCACCCCTCCTCCTGTCTTTCTTCACTTTGTACAATACAGTAGCCGATGAGGGGCCCTCTCATGTGACATTTTTCCATGTGGAGACAAGAATACAGTAGCTGGAAAGAAGAAGAAAATTAATTTTCCAAAAAAGGAGACATCTCACCCTCCTTTCATGCATTTTCCATTTTAGATTTTTAGGGGTAGAAGTACATATACGCAACCTGAGGTTTACCGCTGCATGAGGAAAAAAAAATGTAGTTAGAGATATTTTTCTTTTTAATAAATGACATACAAATTTACGTATAGATGTACAATTTATGTTACATTCTTTCTGTATTATATATAATTCTTAAACCGTATTATATATATATATATGTGTGTGTATGTATATGGACAATACTAATTTCTAAAACTATATGTGTGTGTATGTATATCGACCATGCTTAAATCTTCATCTCCTATAGTTTAGATTATCGTTTATACTAAAATATATATATATTTATTTATTTATATGTGATGAGTCCCTATCTAGTGACGATCAAAAAATGTCATAATCTAAAATACATCGTAGGCATCATTTTTATGGGAATTTTGTTTTTTCGAGTGAACTAACTGTAAAACTTAACTAGACTTTCATAGCTTAACACTAACCTTGGTCTGACATCTTGGTTGTAGACAGTTGCAGAGCCAGAAATTTAAGTAAGAGGGGGTACCTTTAAAAATTCAAACACTATTTTTTATGACAAATCAACCTAGTTTTTAAGAAATCCCTAATTTTATCACTTTTCTCTATTTTTTTTCTTTACTTTTTTGTATGAATAACCTATCACTCTTTTATGATAACAAAATACATGCAATCCAAAATAAATTTAGACATAAAAATGAAAGAGAAACAAAGAAAATAGAAGCCATTTTAGAATTTGTGAGGAATTTTATAATATTTGTACAATATACTAACATAAAATTGTATGTACAACAATAGTTGAGAGGGGGCCAGTGCCCACCCTGGGCATGCACTGGCTCCGCAAGTGGTTGTAGAGGATCTTCTTCTCTATGCAACTCTTAGCGCTATTTCTCTAGATGGGGTGAGAGCTGTGTTTTAGCGTATTTATTGCTAGAAAAGGGACCTCTATATATATGCATCACTTGAAAGCCTTGCCCATCAAGGAGCTGTCAAGTGTTCTAGTTGCATTAGGATTAGGTTCAATCCATATAGAATTAGGAATTCCATTATCTCTTGTACTTCAAATAGAATAGCTTATGTACAAGAGTAATCCGATAAGTTTGAGTATATTTCTGAACATGCAAACCTCTAGAATCCTTACATTACATGATTAGAAGACCACAATTTCATGGTTAAGACAAATCATTGTCTTACACTATCACAATTTCGTGGTTAAGACAATGATTTGTCTTGCACTAACTTTAGAAGCAAGATTCTTCCTCAACATTAATAATTTAATACGTGTGGTTAACCAATTGATCAAAGAAAATTACATTACGTCTCATACATTAATCAAAAACACAAGAATTTCTTAACCAGTTTGATTACGTTGCTTAATCAAATGCATAAAAATAATTTGGTAAGTCCATGTCAAAGTAAATAAAAACCAAAGATCTTGCAAATGCAATGCCCAAAAAAAAAGTAGATGAAAATACGCACACTGAGAAAGTAAAAACTTTGGAAATATTCACTTAAAAAAGATGTGATAAAAAATCTAAACGACATAATTAAAGATAACACGTGATTAGAAAGCACTTTGTAGTGTTTAGTGTTTGCGTTGCTTCCTCTTTTCGTTTTTCTTTTTTGTTGTTGTGGTGGTGGTGGTGGGTCGAGTTCTTTTCAAAACGACCAACTTTCGACGTGGTTCCGAGGTAAGGCATCACATCTGATTACAAGGCTACGTGTCGTGTGGAGACTGGTCAAGAAAAATCTATGATTTTGAATGTATTGTTTAATTTTGAAGAAAGCAACAGCTTTGGTTCGAGTTCAACAATTAAAAATAAAAAGGGAATAATTGTGCAACACGTGGCAGAAGATCCATGCATGAAGAATTGAAGAGCAAGTGGGTCCCCCATT